GAAGGAGCAGAGTACTTGTAGAATAGAAGAAAGAAGGAGCAGAGTATTTGTAAAAAGGAGAAAGAAGGTGCAGAGTACTTATAGAATAGAAGAAAGAAGGAGCAGAGTATTTGTAAAAAGGAGAAAGAAGGTGCAGAGTACTTGTAGAATAGAAGAAAGAAGGAACAGAGTACTTGTAGAATAGGAGGAAGAAGGAGCAGAGTATTTGTAGAATAGGAGAAAGAAGAAACAGAGTGCTTGAAAAAGGAGAAAGAAGGAGCAGAGTACTTGTAGAATAGAAGAAAGAAGGAGCAGAGTATTTGTAAAAAGGAGAAAGAAGGTGCAGAGTACTTATAGAATAGAAGAAAGAAGGAGCAGAGTATTTGTAAAAAGGAGAAAGAAGGTGCAGAGTACTTGTAGAATAGAAGAAAGAAGGAACAGAGTACTTGTAGAATAGGAGAAAGAAGGAAAATAAAAAAATACAGGAAGGAGAAGGAGAGAATTGCTGCTGCCTAATAATAATAAGTGGGTTACCTAGCTCAGCCTTCATGCTGGGCATTGCTATAAGGAAGGTAAAATATAATAATAAAGGAAAAGGAGAAAAAAAAGGAAGAAAAAAATTGAAAAAAGGAAGAAAAATGTGGGGAAAAATTGAGGAGGGAGAGGAGGGGAGCTGACGCACAGATGAGAAATCATATTATGAACAAACAGAGTAACCATCTGAATATCACCAAAAGAGGAGACCTTTGTTTGTTCCTTAAAATCGAAAATCGTACCAGATATTAAATATTTAGTCTTGCAGCATCAGTCTCATTAATCACTAGTTAACGGTAATCTCAATCTCAGGTCCCCCAAGTTTTAACCCTTCAGATGCCAACATAGCAGTTTCAGAGAAAGTGCCATGTTTACATTTGGGGTTAAGCCAGTCTCTAGTGGCTGTCTTCTGGACAGCCACTAGAGGCACATCTGCGATGCTGGAGGCATATTATGCCTCCATCGCGCAGAGTGTCCATAGGAAAGCATTGAAAAATGCTTTCCTATTGACAGCTTGAAGGCGCGCGAGACACTTGCCACGCATGCGCATTCGGCTCCACTGACATCGGCAGAGGGAGCTGACGTTGGCGGGGGAGGAGAGGTCACCAGCGCCAAGGGAGCCCAGCGCTGGAATAAGGTAAGCTGCTGAAGGGGTTTTAATATTCCGCACTTGCTAAAAAAAAAAAATCAAAAACTGATGGGCGGTAAGGAAATGTTTCCATCAAGAAAGATGCATTAGTGGGCGGTAGGTATAAAAAGGTTGACTACCCCTGATTTAAACCAACAGTGAAGGTTCTTGAATTATTTATGCTACTGTAACACACACTAATTATACCTCCAAAGGCTGAATTAAATATACAGAACAGTTTATTTATTAACCAGCAGCTTGTGTTAGGCTGATAAGCAACCTCCAATATTTAGGACAAATTTTTAAAAACTGAAAAAATCAACAACAAAAAAGTCTCCCTTGTACCTATTTCCCCTTTTTCATACATTGCACATTCTGATCTCATGGTGTAATCTATGGTGGAGCAGATTATCTCACGGAGCAAGACCTGTAATTTCTGTACAAATTTGACTTTTATATTTAGAGTGTCACGTTCACTTTGGAATTTTGAATATTTTCACAGTGTAAGCATGTGCAGCTGTCACCTCAAAAAATATTTTTAAATGTAATCCTTTCATCAAGTATGGAAAGGAAATAGATTATTTTTATATGAAGTACATGTAAAAAATGAGAAAAACAAACCACCTCCGCCCCAGCCAGATTAACAGGGGTATACCCCACCGTCACCAAAGATCCTAGAACTGAACTCGCAAGGCACGCACAAAATCCTGTGTCTCCCCCATACGGTTGGTCATTACACACTACCTGTCTTGGCACAAGACACAAACCACCTCGGCCACACTAGGTGGCCTAGCATAGCCACAACAACCGTACGCTAAAGGGAAAGCCCCATCTACACAAAGGTTCTTAGGACCTACGAGCCCAACTAGTATGTTTCTTTAGACTGTTTGATGACTTGCATGTCACCATGGTTGTTCACTATAACTATCTCATGTCTGAGACGTGAATTGAAAAGCCTTTATTGGACCTGCGTGTCTGCGACAATGTTTATGCATAAAGTGAAAATTCTTTGAATAAAAGAAATTTACAAAAAAAATAAAAAAATGAGAAAAAAAACCTCATCCCTATTTTTAGTATTTGACAGGATCCTTCGGCCATATACGTACACCTTGGGTTAAACAGTGTTTACACTAGACAAGTAGTCTCTATGGTCTTCCTGACTTCACTTCCTCCATAGTGCAGTGATATCATCACTCATTGCCCTTAAACACTGTCTAAACCAAGGTGTATGTATATGGCTAAAGGATCTTTTCATATACTAAAGATTGGCATAAAATTTAGTTTTTACATATACTTCATTTAAAAAAATAAAAAAAATATTTCCTTTCAATACTTAATGAATTCCAATTTAAAAAAAAAATTGTTTTAAGGTGACAGTTGTCCTTTAATACCTGCTCTGCCGCCTCTTTTTCTTCTTGACGAGTCTTATTGTTTGATTTAGATATGCTGTATGGATATCCTCTAGTGTTTCAATATGGAAATACGAGATTGCTGCTAAATTTCCTCTTATGAATATTCCACCCTGAGAACAAACACCGGTCTGCTTTGTTTATGTTGTATTATCATATTTATAGTGACCTGAAAATATTCTGATTGTTATACGCATGTAACTATCCTCAAAATATCAGGCAGTTCACATAAAATAGCTCATTATTATCCACTGGAATCCCCCAACTTGGACATAGAGTCCACATGTTGCACTTTATTATTCGGAAATGTTGTTTGTCTGTAACACCAGGATAATATGAAAATGGATTGCAATAAAAAAAACACAGAGCATTCTGGGTATTTTTGGTTCTCAGAAACTATCCAGAGCTGATTGGGTTGAAGAAATACATATGTCAACACTAGAGAGGGAATGTGAGAGATTCTAGATTCTAGTCACTAGAGATTCTAAAGAGTACAAGTATAAAAATTAGTTAAGCATGCGCACAATACTTTTCAAGGAACAAAGCTTTATTTGTGTGCAACATCTTGGCCTGCTATGCTGGAGGTACAGAATCAGCAGTGCGTCACACTGAAATTAGCATGACTGCTTTTATTTATCAGCCAATCAGAATACTGGAAATTTAGTCATGGGCACTGACCAGAAAATGGACAGATTAGCGTAAAGTAATGGTGGCCTCCTGTATGCTTTAAAATTGATACTTCTTTGAGCTATAAAATTTCACAAGACCTATAATGTTTACATGAAACACTACGCAGTCTTTCTGTTCTTTAAAAAAAGATTAAGGAGCGAGTGTATTTTGTTGTCATTGTGCAAACATTAATATTGCATGATCGACTGCTTTCAGTCCAGTACCTTTAGGTTCCTGCAGTGTCCCTTTAAATAGATGGTAACATCCTGGAAAAAGCCTATACAACAGTACCGTAAATAAACTATGTGCAAGCGGTAGGTTTGCTCTGAAAAAGCAATGATTGATAATATCTAACACTCTCATTTACTAACTCTAAAAAAAAAAAAAAGAGAAAAATTAAATTGGAAGCTATATTCCACTATAGTGAAATAAAGTATTTTCAGCCCTGCTAATTCTGCAATCCCCAATGGAAGATGACTGCTCAGTGTGATTTGGCAATGAGGGCATTCACACCCCTGAAACAACGGCACTCCAGATGTTGTGAACTACATCACATCTGATGCTTTTCCAGCATTATGGCACAACAGCTGGAGTACCGAAGGTGGCATTCACACCCCTGAAACAATAAGAGAAAGGTCCCACCGTGGAGGCGAAAGGAGTAAAGTGGAAAGAAGGAAGTTAAGTGCTATGGCTTCCTCCAACACAGTGGTCATGCAGAACAGGGGCATGACCCATTTCTGCCAGGACAGGGCCCAAAACATGGGCCAGTCCTGGCAGAACGTGACAGTTGGCAACTATGAGTCATGTCTGCAGTGCTAGCATGATGATACCTTAATTTCTGGGTTTTACTTGTGTGTGAAAGTATTAATTGCATGTGTGCCCAGTGAATGCATTACTTAGATACAAACTGCATGAAACTCAATGAAAGACCGTGACTTGGAAATCAGGGATATAGAAATCTCATCAAAGTGAATTTGTTGTCAATGTATAAATGACGAGAACACATTTTAGATGAGCTAATAATGTATTTAATACTACGTACTAGCATGATCGCCACAAAATGTATCAATTAATCCAGAGATTGGATTCCGAACATCCCCAACCGAGGTCACTCGCACAATCTACCTGGGTAATTTCACACCAGCTTGTGCATTAAAGTGTGAATTGACAGGAATTTAAAATCCAAAATTGTTGTGAATGCACAGGGAAATCAAGGTGAAATTCAGATTGTAAACTAAAATATGCCAAACCGAAAAAAAGTAATAAGGCAGAAATGTTCGCATTCCCAACAATGAACAGTTTGGTGAATAACCCTGCCACTTTTGTTTTCTTAGCTTGTAAGTAAATTTTAAATGTAAGCCCAAAGTTGCAAACTTTTAAACACAGCTCGGCTATTTTAATCTTCAATTTGAAATTTCCTTTAAATTCTCACATTCAGTTTTTTTAAATTGCAACACAACAGATCACTAAACAAACAGCTGATATCTGAACAGAAGTGTGTCACTCTCTCCAACTCCCTACACTTTGCAATAAGGAATGTTTCATGGGCTAACTGGTCTGCTTTCCACACCACTGAGCACATCCTCCCTAAACTGGGTTACAAAAGAGTGTGTCTCATCAAACTCATGGATTAATAATTAGCAAGTGATTTTCAAACGACCTTACAATGTGTACTCCAAAAGAAAAAAAAAGTAATGCAGGTTTTCCAAGCTAATGCTCAGAGGCTAGTGGTACCAGGGGGAGGGAGCAGGGCAAGGCGTGGGGAAGGTTTGGAAGTGGAGCCTGGGCTGGGATGAGAGCAAATCACAGCACTCAACAGACTTAGAGGATTTAGCTTTAAGTTATCATGTGCACACAGCTCTGACTGGCCTGGAGAGAGAGCACTAATCCTGCACTTATCCAGGTCGCCTTAGACATATAGAGGAAGCACACAGGCTGATAGCTGATTGAGGCAGACTTTTCTTTTTTAACTGGAAGAGAAGAGAAAGGCTTGGAAGAAAGGGAAGAGCATGGCAGAGACCACAGGAGAGCAGGTTGCAAGGGGAGACACAGAGCTGAATGGTGGTGAGGCTGCTGAAGGTGTGCAAGAAGTCAGCACCCCAGCTACAGGGGAAGCCAGTGCAGAAGGTGATAAAGAATTAGGGGAGAAGGGAGAAGTGGGAGAGGATGTCCCCGACACAAAGGGTAGTGGGGAGACTCCAGCAGAAGTAGAAGAACCTCATCCAGAAGGGGAGGAAAGCGTGGAGTTGGATCCCAAAGTGGTGGAAGGTGCAGAGGAACAGCTGTTAACCCCTGGGGTGGCAGATGAGGGGGAAGGAGGTGTAGAGGAGGTATCTGAGCCTGGAAAGGATGAAAGACTTCCAGAACACCAAATCAAGGAGCAGGAAGGAAGTGGAGGTCAGGAGGGTGAAGCTTCTTCCCCTGGGCCAGAGGGTGAGGCCACTGATGGTGACCAGAAGGAGAATGGTGCAGAGTTAAAGGAGGATGAAAATGTTTTAAGTAGTGAGAGTAGCAGTGAAGGGATGTCCAGCAGTGATGAGGAAGAGGAAGAACAAGCTGAGATTAAAGGAGAAGAAAAAGAAGGTAAGGTGGAGGGTAGTGAGGAAGTGGGTGGCATGGGTGCAGAGGAAGGTGAGGTCTCACCTGGTGGTGAAGAGGGAGAAGAGGCAGGGGATGAAGGAATGGAAGAAACAGTGGATATTAAAGGAAGGGAAGGTGAAACAATGGAAGAAGAGCAGAACACAGAGGTTAACCAGGGTGAAGGGGAAACTGAGTCAGGAGGAGGCACAGAGGGAGGACAAAGCATGGTAGAGGAGAACAGCGTAGAGTTGGAGGTTGCTACAGAGGATTCAGAACATGTGGGAGATTGCACTCAGGAAGGACACGAGGAACCTCCTGGAGAAGGTGGGACTGCAGAAGGTGCCCCTGCCACAGACAGCACTGGGCTAACAGAAGAGAGTACAGAAAGGGAAGTGACCTATGAAGATGCTCCTGTAGACCTTCCTGTAACAACTGAAGAAACCCCACCAGAGATTCCAGAATCTGGCATCACCTTGGAAACAGATCAGCAGATATGTCCAGAGACCCCTGGAGAAGAAGAGATCAGAGAAAATGGTGTAAGTCCTGTCACCAGTCCAGAGACACCGGTGGAGGCCTTGCAGGAGCATGAAATATCTCTGTTTGTCAAGGTAAGACACATCATAAAATATGGTGAATTTCATTGTTGGGATGGTGGGAAATGAGATGTACAATGGACGGTTTGCAATGCAATGCCCAGCCTCCCCCTGTTAAAATGGTTAAATAAAAAAACTGGACAGGTGGTTTACTGACCATAAAATTAGAGAAGACAAAATGAAGTTAATATATTTAAGTAAAATCCACCAGTTTGAATAAGGTGGAAAAAAATACCAAAAAATATACTTTAAAGCATACATATAGCTGAATGCATTAATAAGTCTGCAAGAAAACAACTTTTAAAATGATTATATGTATGTTTATAAACATAATTCAGATTTTATTTAGGTTCCTCCATTTTGATTTTTGTAAAATAATGCACTAACTAGCATACACTTATATTAAAAATGATAATGGGTAGCCGGTTGGGATGTGCAACTAAATAATCGTTAATGCCTTTAATTTTTTTTTAAATCAGTTTAACAGGTTGAGGTAAAATGCAAGCTAAATCAAAAGAGTTTACATAGCTTTAGACTGTAATCTGTCACAGTGTTAGTTTATTTGCAAATATTAACTGCAAGTATTGATACGTAGCTTTAAGCTGATAATTTAAAAGAACAGGGAACCCAAAAATAACATAAATCTGTAAAGGTATAGTCAGGTGCCCATAAATTTATTAGAAAGGGAATAATAATTAAAATTATTTTCTGTTATTTGCAGAGTATTGTAGGGTATTCTACAGATAGCTTCTATATAGTTCTTGGCTCTGTCCCTTTCACTGATGTTGGCGTTCCCACCAATTTTGCACCCACATGTCCGTCATGTTGTCAAACGATAATATATACAGTAACTAAGGCTGGAACAGCGTATTGGGAGTTGTAGTTCAACAACAGCATGACTGCTACCAGATGACCAGCCCTTCCTTACTTAACGTTTAATACTGCTGTGTATTGCTGAAAGTGTTTTTTGATCACGTCATAACTTCTTTGACCTTTTATTTTCCTAATCACACCAAATAACTGCAATGATAACGTTGGTTTTTTTTAATGTATTTTGCTGAAATATATCAAGATTCTACCCTTGTTGGCTCTCCTAAGTTCCAAACAAAGCTTAAACAACAGATTTTTCCAGTATAACAAAAAATGCATTTTAAAGTATGTCAAAATAAATCAATGGTGTTCTGCTGTAAAATCGATCCACAATGTATGATTTTTGCAAGTGCGTTATATATTATTGTCTACCGTTACTACATTTTTAAAGGGGCAGTCTTGTGATTTTCCAGATTTCTCTCTAAATAAAATTATATAATTAAAGGACAACTGCAACCAATAAGGATTTCTCTTTTTTTTTTAATTTTTTTTTTTTTACGTTTATGACATTACAGAAGCGTAAAGATATTTTTTAGATGTATATTGATTTATTTATTTTTTTAAAGAAAATTTCCCTTTTTTTTTCTGAGTGGGCAGCCATGTTGGGTCTGGCACTACTATTATCGGACCAACTGCTGCTCCAACCTAACCTACCTACTGCGCCGATTACGCTATCTGAAACTGCGGCAGCAGGCAGGTTAGGTTGAGCAGCAGTTGGTCAGATAACAGTAGTCTGACCCAACTTGGCTGCTCAGCCGATAAAAAAAGGGAAATTTTGACATGAAATTAATATACATAATTTAAAAAATATTGTTTATTCTAAATTTGGTGTACTCACCGTGAGAAGCAACGGAGTCAGCAGGTGCATTGTATGTGTATTTACTATGCTTTAACAAAGTTGCGCCACTATGCAGGTCAAAACACTACGATAAACTCTGCGCCATTGACAGATTCCAGGAAATATTGCATTTGCATTCATGTTAATCTATTTGCATTATTGTTTTTAAGGGATTTGTACAAATACTTTTTTATATACCTGCTAACATTGGGAGGTGTGAGTTCGGGACAAATGGTCAGATCTGAGAGGGACCAGTGGTACAAATCCACAAAATCAAGGCTGTTGGGGGGGCCCTTTTTTCAGGTGACACCACCACTTGAAGCAAGGGTTAATCTGCCCTGTTGGGGTTAGTGAAACCTAAAGGCAGAGTTAACAGATAGCTTTCCCTTGCACACTTTGAGAACACATGATAAAGGCTAAACAAACTTTATGGCAATTCAAGATACTCTTATCTGTCCTCAAACATTGCTATAAAATGTGACACGGGCCTAGTTATTTAACCTAAATATCCAGTATTTGAATTTTACAAATGATTTACACCTTAGATAACTAATAAATCTCTGAGCTAACTAGCAAGTGTGTAGATCGGGGTTATTGGACTGGATTAAAAAATTTAAGATAAACTAGACTGCCTCGGAAAATAGCCAAGTTGAAATTTTTTTTTTGCAAATTGTAAAATTTTCTTACATTTTTAGAAATATAACATTTCCCTATTTAGCACATAACACGGACTTGTTTAAGGTAAAATACATTTTCACAGTGCTTTTATCTTTTTTTATCGGGGGAACTGCTAATCAAAGCAGCATAACACGGCGGTAGAACGTTCCTGTTAGTGAATTTATGACACGAATACGTGGTAGGGTTTATTAGAGATGAAAAGGGTGACAAAAGATGGTTAAGGAGATAAGAACAGAGACAAATATCAGTGGAAGGTATGCTCTTATGTACCTCCTGCAGATATTTTAATTCATCCCTCTACCAATAACAATATTGCGGAAGAAGTGTTGAGGAGACAGAAACAGTGCAATTCTGTCTTCCCAGCTCCTTTGTCAGTGTAGCAAACTCACCCCTTTAAGGGAGTTTTCCATGAGTTTTTGGAGGGGGCTCCTTGCCCGCCTCCTGCCCTGTGACTATGGCCCTGGGATGTATTGCCTTTAAGAAACATATTTGGGCATAATGGATTTTTATTGTGCTGCCGCTGGACCTTTAACTTCTAGGAAAAGGATCTGTACTTTTAAGCCGGCACTTCGGATGCAGCAGAAGTGCTGAAGTAGTCGAAGTGGCCGCCATTCGAAAACCGAACACGTGGCGGCGGCCATTTTAATTCATTCGAATGTGGTCAGCAGTGTTTTGCCGTCACGTTCATGGAACTAAAATTGGCTACTCAGTCAGCGTATAGCTATTGGGAGGGTAGCTGAATTAATGGTGGAGGCTGCAAATACTAGTTTCAGGCTGTGAGTGAAACTCCCCCTATTCTAGGACAAATGCAGATACGAGTTTCCTGTTTGTTCTCTAAGAGTAAGATAACCTTACCTTAAAGGGACATTAGCGTGTTGGGAATACAAACATGTATTACTAACACTATAGTGTTCTTCTGTTTGCAATAAAAAATGTTTTACTCACCTAGTATCCCTCACCCCTCCTACCCCCTGCCTCCCCAATGCAGTTCTTTGATCCTTGGCTGAGATCATCAACTCTGATAATCTCAGCCAATCCAATACTTTTTCTTAGGAAAGCATTGGGAGACAACAAAAACAGAGATCATGTGAACTCTGACAATGGGCAAAAGCTCAGGGAACCTCAGTAGCTTGTCCTTTGGTTAGTATCCTCTCAGGTGGTTGTCAGGGTGTTAAAGCAGGGCACGACAAATCCCTAGTAGCAGGTGGCCATGGTTCTGGCATCTGGGTGTCTGTCAGCACGTTCAGTCGAGGCGGGCGGCCGAGCTCGATTGCTGATTAGTGGTGCCGGGATCTGGAAAATGACATCACTCCGGCCCCGGTATCACTAAATAATGTGTGAGGGAGCAAAGCAAGAACAGCTTGAAGATTACAGCAGCACACTGGACCCCAGGGTAAGGATCCACTCCAGTTCTCCCAAAGGTAGGGAGGCTAGGTGGACTTAAAGTAATATGAAATAAATAAGAATAGTTTGTGAGTGTATGAGAAAATGTGTGCGTGTCTGTCAGTAACTGTGTGTGTGTGTGTGTGTGTGCCTGTCAGTATTAGTGTGTGCCTGTCAGTATCAGTGTGTGTGTGTGTGTCTGTCAGTATCAGTGTGTGTCTGTCAGTATCAATCTGTGTTATCTGCCCTTCACTATCAGTGTGTGTGTGTGTGTATCTGTCTGTCAGTATCAGTGTGCGTGTGTCTGTTAGTATCAATGTGTGTTGTCTGTCCTACAGTATCAGTGTGTGTGTGTGTGTGTCTGTCAGTGAATGTGTCTGTTTAGGTTACCGGCCACCCCTCCGATCACATGTGAAAAGTGTTTTTACTCACGTTTTTTCACACGCCGTGCCGTTCCTGACTTTGCCTCCATAGCTGAGATATCAATTTTGATGATCTCAGCTGAGCCAGTGCTTTCCTATAGGAAAGCATTGTGAGATTATTGCACATGCACAGCAAAACGCTGCGCCAATCAATGCATCTCTATAGGGAACATTCAGCACTTGTCGAGCTGAGTGACACACTGAGTGACTGTCACTAGAGGTGTTACTAGCAGCAATGTAAACACTGCCTTTCCTATGAAAAGGCAGTGTTTACATTGAAAAGCCTGCAGGGGCAGGATACAGACACCAGAACAACTACATTAAGCTGTAGTGGTTCTGATGGCTATAGTGTTCCTTTAAGAATTATTTTTGGTTTTGAAAATTAAACTTTGCTAGTTTAAAAAAACAAAAACTGGCTAATACATTATTTAGCTGGCTCCTAGATTCCAATCAAATCTCTCAAGCCCTGTGTTAAAGGGACACCGTTGTCACTTATATAACGTTAACTTAATAAAGCAGTTTTTGTGTAGATCATGCCTCTGAAGTCTCACTGCACAATTATTTGCCATTTAGGAGTTAATTAACTTTTGTTTTTGTTTATGTTACCCATGACTGTGACTCACACAACCTACATGAAAAAAGGGTTTCCTTTTCAATCAGATGTTGACTTACTTTAGAAGTTTCCCCTCCTGCTTTCTAACTTTACCTTTAACTGCACACAGGAGCCTCCTGCAAGGTCTACCAAGCTATAAGCATTGCAGGATATATGAAATTCTAAATTAAATAGACTGTGCAACGAAGGAAGTTTAAACATTAGATCTCTTTTTACAGGAAGTGTTTATGAAAGCCGTGTATGTTACAAGCAGGGATGTGTGACTAGGGCTGCATAAAAAAAGTGATTTAACTCCTAAATGGCAGATAATTTAGCAGCGATACTGCAGTGTCATTATCTATACACCAAAACAGCCTCATTGAGCAAAAGTTGTTTTGGTGACTATAGTGTCCCCTTAGCCCTGCAACCATGGCATCTACTAAAAGTGCCAAATCACCCAGACCACTTCATTTTGTAGTCCTTTAAAGGGTCACTACACTGCCCAAATACAACATTTAAAAAAATCTAGATTTAGTTTATATACCCCCAATCAAGACATGCATGCATTAACTTATGCATTTCTTTTTTTTTTAAAAAGGGGTTATATCTAAAACAGCTTGTAAAAGTTGAAGATCTGTTTTTTGTAGTCTTTGCAAGTCTTCTCCTTCTTCCCCAACCCACACATTCTATGGCTGTCCAAACACAGACTTCCCAATACAGCTTAAAGGGATACTATAGTGCCAGGAAAACAAACCTATATTCCTGGCACTATCGCTCCCCCCTCCCTTGCGCCCCCTATGTTTAACATTGCATCACTGGGTGCAAAAGGGACACTGTACCCAAACCACTTCAATTGGCTAAGGTAGTCTGGGTGCCTACAATGGCGCTTTAATGAGCAGTCTTCACAAGGAAAGTGGTCTGAGCAGTTGCTGCATCTTGAGTTTATCTGCACTGAGCTAAACAACCAGGAAGTTACCGGACATTTTGTCTGATAGCTATATGGATGTAACACTCTTAATTTGTAAAAGTTCTATTGAAATCTGCACTTTTGGACAACGCTAAAGTGCTTTGGATGTTTGGAGTGTTCCTTTAAGCCTAACCCTACAAATTATGTCCTCTTGGAAATTTGAAGAAATCTAGTTTAATATTATGTCTTCAAAACTCTTCAATGGCGTTATATTCCACCTTAAAGGAACACTATAGTCACCTAAATTACTTTAGCTAAATAAAGCAGTTTTAGTGTATAGATCATTCCCCTGCAATTTCACTGCTCAATTCACTGCCATTTAGGAGTTAAATCACTTTGTTTCTGTTTATGCAGCCCTAGCCACACCTCTCCTGGCTATGATTGACAGAGCCTGCATGAAAAAACTGGTTTCACTTTCAAACAGATGTAATTTACCTTAAATAATTGTATCTCAATCTCTAAATTGAACTTTAATCACATACAGGAGGCTCTTACAGGGTCTAGCAAGCTATTAACATAGCAGGGGATAAGAAAATCTTAATTAAACAGAACTTGCAATAAAGAAAGTCTAAATAGGGCTCTCTTTACAGGAAGTGTTTATGGAAGGCTGTGCAAGTCACATGCAGGGAGGTGTGACTAGGGTTCATAAACAAAGGGATTTAACTCCTAAATGGCAGAGGATTGAACAGTGAGGCTGCAGGGGCATGTTCTATACACCAAAACTGCTTCATTAAGCTAAAGTTGTTCAGGTAACTATAGTGTCCCTTTAATATACAGTTCTCTGTTATGTATCCTCTGAATTAGCATGTCACATTTTATATATATTTTAATATATTATTTTATATAATACATGGCATTCAGTAAAATTGCTCAGGCGCCTGGAGTGTTAACAAGAGTATTGGATAATCTCCTTGATCTTCAGAATCCCTTTAGTGGAATATAGCACATTCATCTAAGGAACAGTCTGAATTCTTGGCAAGCTATCAAAAAGCAGATGGACATGATATATTAGTTACGGACATATAGATTATGTAGACATGGCTCTGTTAGCTATTGTCTTTAAAGGTGAGGTTCTGTTAGGTGATCTTTCACGATTTGTATATTTACTTAAATTAAATAAATATATATAATATATGTGAATATTATCTAATTAAATATTATATAATTAAATATATAGAATCAGAAATTACATAAGTAACTTATTAAACTTTGCAACGTAGCCTAACCATAAAGATAATATCACTGCTATGGTAGTAGCGCTGCTTAAATGATTGCAAGCTCTGAACTGGCTTACCTCAGCACTATAAATATTTGTATACCACAATTCCTATGACTCTTAGCCAGCCTTTAAAGATATTTTCCAACAATTTTTGCCATGTTTAGTCATCTCTCTGAATAAACATATGATCTAAGCAGTGGAGTATCTATAGTGATACTATTGTATTGAGATCCAATATGTAATAGGATTTATAATGTTAGTAGAGCATAGACAGACTATTTTATACTTCCAATCAGACGTGTTCATTGAAACTTCCTGTAGATTATGGCCAGTTTCATAACCATATAACTGGTAATAAAGAATGTGATTTGTTATGTCCATGCACATAGTCAGATAATCAGATTTTATTTGCATGAGGTTCATGGTGAATAAAAATCTTGTTCCCGTTCCAAATTCCTTTAATTGATATGTAATTTTCTAATTGTCAATATCCTATGAAATACGTGCAAGCGTTGTGTGACGGAACGCCGTCACTGAATACTGACACAAGTGCTCTCTCCAGTGTTAGAGCCCCAGCACTGTGAGTCGGCTTCACAAGCCGCAGAGTCCCGCCTACCGCCTGGAAGTCTGTGCAGGCCAATAGAAAAAGGGCTACCACTCAAACTGGTTTTGCATCCTTTCTCTCGATTGGTCGGCGAAACACCTCCTCTCTCTGAGCACCTGAAAAGTTTGAATCTACCGGCCTAAAGTGATTCTCTGGATTCGGGTATGTAAAGAGCCTCAAGCCCAGACTTTATATGACAATTTCTTAGGCTCTGTACATCTGATCACACCACTATCCGATCGCTATCCATGGATCATTGCTGGGACCAGGAGCTATTCGGGGAAGTATGGCATGTGGGGGTGCGTTACTGTATGGTGTGTATTTTGGGGGTTTTTGTATGTTAGACTTCCTGTGTCCGGGAGATACCATTATCTCCCAGACACAGCGCGCCGGGGTGGGCTTATGTTTTGTATTGCTGTAAATGGATACTGTGTATCTTGCCTGCAATAAACAGTTCTATTTCACCCTTCATTAAGTCTCGACTAGTGTTTGGGTAATAGAACGATTGCCCTTCTGCAAGCGTCTATAATCGCTGGCTCGCAGCTATAGTCACTCCAGGGCTGAGCACAACTAGGAAGCGGCGACCACAGGCAGTAGTAACCCATCCTCGAAAGGGTATACCGCCACATCTGGTGGCAGCGGTGGGATGGTCCCCTTCCTTGGAGCCGGAGTGAAATCAGAGGCGGATGGATCAGCGCAATGAAGATTGAAGCGTTTCACTCTCTAACACCTCCTGGAAAACCGAGGGATAGCGCTAGCACTCGTGCACTGTCCTTGTTGGGAAAGCAGTTCCAGAGGAGCGTGTCGCAGGGATTGTCTTTCTTCGGAGGCAATCCATAAGCAGAGGTACCCACAGACTTGGAGCAGGCAAGCATGGCATCCTCTGACTCTTACTCAGAGTTCCTATTTGAGGTGCGGGAGCGACTTGCCTGGTATGGCTCTAATGTGTGCAGTGTGAGGTCCAGGGAACGGAGACAACCGGTTTAGTTCCCCAGCGGCAGTGTGAGGTCCAGGGAATGGAGACAACCGGTCTCGGTCCACAGCGGCAGTGTGAGGTCAAGGGAACGGAGACAACCGGTCTCGTTCCCCCGCGGCAGTGTGAGGTCCAGGGAACAGAGACAACCGGTCTCGCTACCCAGCAGCTGAGTGAGGTCCAGGGGGGAGCACAGCCGGCTCTCCTTCCCAGAGGCCAGCCACGACCCAAGCGATTCACGGGAAGCAGAGCCGCGACGGACTCAGCAAACAACTCCCATCATCCTCAGCCAGCTGGGAAAACCAAAGAGACCCAGGTGATGGTAGGACTGGACTTGTTTGGTGTGGGTTTTTATGGGCTCCTGTGTACCGGAGCCTGGGCAGGACAGCCCCCTGGGCTAAAGGCCCCTTATATCTAAGTCACCCTGCACCTAGGAGGGTGCAGGGCTGACCCAGGACAAGTGCTGTTGTGGGCATGGCACTCACAGACTATGTGTCCACTCCAGACAGCAGCGAGCTGATCCGTGTGGGTCATGCTGTGGCTGTCGGAGGTGGACAAGGGGGAGATGTGTGACGGAACGTCATCACTGAATGCCGCCACAAGCGTTCTCTCCGGTGCTAGAGCAGTGGTGTATCCTGGTTTTGTGCTGCCCTAGGCAGGACAAAACTCAGTCGCCACCCCCACCCAACCCTTCCCCGCGCCCTGCCTTCTAAATACACACACACACACTCACTGACAGATACGCATACACTAGCTAACAGAAACACACACACTAACAGACAAACACACAATCACTAACAGACACACACACAGGTAAACACACTAACAGACACACACATACACAGTCAGACACACACACTAACAGACACACACAGTCAAACACACACTCACTCACTGACACACACACACTAACAGACACACTCACTCACTAACAGACACACTCACACTCACTAACAGACACACACACACTAACAGACACACACACACCCTCACTCACATTAACAAAAATTATTTTTTATTTAACCCCCCCCAGCCTCCTTACCTTTGGGAATGCTGGGGGGGGGAGGTTCTCTTTCTTCCTGGGGGTCCAGTGGGTCTGCTGGACGGGCGGCTGGCGAGGGAGCACTTCCCCTGAGCTGTCTGCTCAGCTCCCTTGCGTGCCACAGAGTGATGCCGGGAGCCGGAATATGACGTCATATTCCGGTTCCCAGCCTCACTCTGCGGCGCGCGAGGGAGCTGAGCAGACAGCTGAGAGGAAGTGCTCCCTCGCCGCTCGCCCACCAGTGCCGCTCGCCCAGCCCAGCATGTCAGTTTGCCGGAAGGCTAACAAGACATTTGCCCTGGGCATTTGGGGGCGGCTTTTTTTGCCGCCCCCTGGAAAATGCCTCCCAAGGCTAAACCGTCCCTGTGCCAGAGCCCCAGCAGAATCCCTGGAACTGTGAGTCGGCTTTACAAGCTGCAGAGCCCCCCAGGGGTCATAGATGGGACTAGGAGCTATTCGGGGATGTATGGCATGTCGGGGTGCGTTACTGTATGGTGTGTATTTTTGGGTTTTTTGGGTGTTCTGCTTCCTGTGTCCGGAAGATTCCATTATCTCCCAGACACAGTGATGCCGGGGTGGGCTTATATTTTGTATTGCTGTAAATAGTTTGTGCATAAATACTGTGTATCTTGCCTGCAATTAACAGTTCTATTTCACCCTTCACTAAGTCTCTTCACTAACTAGTGTTTGGGTGATACAATGATTGCCCTTCTGCAAGCGACTATTATCGCTGGCTCGCAGCTATAGTCACTCCTGGGCTGGGCACAACTAGGAAGGGGCGACCACAGGCGGTAGTAACCCATCCTCAAGAGGGTATACCGCCACATGTTTCTCCAAAAGAAACCAGGGGGCTGCACTCACCTGAACATGCAAAAATGGGGTTCTGCTGTGGGCCAATTTATACAATACACAAGATCCAGTGCACTCACTTATCCACTAAACAGCAACTTCAATGCTGACAGATTTTATTAGCTTAAAAAAACGAATCTAGGCAAAAATAATGAGGATTTAGTTACAGTATATGATCATACATTGCTTAAGCCTGCCACAACGTCAATGTACCCCATCTTTGGCAGGTCCTACTAATGGTAAACAGCCTAATGGTTTTTAAAAAGCTAATAAAATCTGTCAGCATTGAAGTTGTGGTTTAGTTGATAAGTGAGTGCGCTGGATCTTGCGTAGTGTTGCTTTAAAAGACAACTTTCATAAAAGTTTCACCTTATTTTTTTTAAAGTTTATTATATTATATATTTATATATATATGAAACCTAATGATTTTTTTTTTTTAAATGACGTGTATTGCTTTATTTATTTATTTTTAAAGGTCGTTGTTTTTTGGGGGGCTGAACAGCCATGTTTGGTTGCACTGCTGCTGCAGATTTACATATAACGAATACAGCAGCAGGCAAGTTAGACTAAGACAAATAAAATGTGAAATTTTCTCCAAAAAAATCAGAATACATCATTTTAAAAAAATATTTAAAATTCATTAAATGTAACAAACTTCAAAAAAGTAAAGTGAACATTTGATGACTGTTGTCCTTTAAACATTGTTCGGTGTTATATTACTAAAATGTTACACCTCTATTTTGTTGATGTCATGTTGATATAATGTAGTTGATGCGTGTTTAGTGGTACATTTCATATGAAAGGAGTGGACCCTCCATAACCCACGGGCAACACCCAACACTTGGAAGCGCCCAGCATGTTCAGAACCCTGAATGCAACAGATGACTTTCATTGGTTTGGTTTTAACTGGTCCTAACGTGCAATTTGTGGTTTTTAGTCTAAAGACTAATGTCTAAAGTTAAAAAGATCTATTCCTGTCCTTAATTTGAAGGCATGGACTTTATGGTGAGAATGGCGGTTTGAACATTTCTCAGTGGGCTTCAACTTTAAAATCAGTGAAAGCAGGAGTTAAAAAACAGACCATCAGGTTTATTTACATACATATATAGATTTCATTAGACTTTTACTTTTATACATGAGCATACTTATGCAAAATGAGATGCTACTGTTTATTTTATGCCGTCTCTTGTTTCACTAACTTAAAGGAACACTCCAGGCACAAAATGAAGTTGTTATTGTGTCAGGAGGGACTCTTACCTCAAGGGGTTAAACCGTTCTTGAACGGCATCCAGCTTCAGCAAGTCCATATTTAGAATGCGCGGAGTGTTGACTGGCAGGGGCGCCGCTGATTGACTGAGAGCGTCAGCTGGCACTCTCAGCTAATAAGGGGCTCATCTGTCTTGCAGCACTCTGTATCTGGGGGGGGGTGGGGGAGGGAGAGGACATCGCCTGGCACCATAACAACTTTATTTATATGTACTACATCTTCCATAATGCTGTTTTCTTATTGATTTTTTGCTTTGTGCAGGTACTCTAGCACTACAAGGTTTTCTACACTTGAAGAACATGTAAATACTTTTTCATATGGTGGTTGGGAACTATTATGCCTCAATTACATCTACATTCCCATTAATAGATTTACCTATGTTATTAAAGATCAACATAATTTAACAACTCTGCATATAATTTAACCATTCTTTATGTCTACCATTAACCATTCTTTTATGTCTACATCTTATGTTTCATAGTAACTATTATTATCTAAAGCGTAAGCCATAAAGGAACACCGTAGTGTCAGGAATACAAACATGTTCCTGACACTTTAGTTTTGAAACTGCTGTTAAGTCCTGGGTCTCATTTCCTGCCTCTCCCCCCTTGAATGCTCAGCGCCTCTATGCAGTGCGTGGAGACGCTGAATGTCAGTGCTGTACACTGTGCAGCACTGACACAGGAAATGCCTCTAGTGCCCGTCTGAGTGACTGCCACTAAAGGTGTTCCTAGGCAGTAATGTAAACACTACCTTTTCTCTGAAAAGGCAGGCTTTACTTTTATGAAGCCTGCAGGGACATACTCTACTCACCAGAACAACTATATTAAGCTGTAGCTGTTCTGGTGACTACAGTGTACTTTTACGGGCCATTTGGTAAATACAGTGAAGAGAAAAAGTATTTGATCTCCTACTGAGTTTGAACGTTGGTCTACGGACAAAGAAAATATCAGTCTATAATTTTAATGGTAGATGTAATTTTAAACCTGGGAGGGGGAGGACAGGGAAGGGGGATATGGCATTCCCTGTGGGGCCCAGCACACTCTTACTTACCTTCCTAGCAGCTCCCCTGTCTAACACTTGCGGCCAGCGTGCCGAGCAGAGTGTTGCCATGGTAACCCATGGGACTCACAAGAGTTAGACAGGGGAGCTAAAGGGAGCTGCTGGGAAGGTAAGTAAGAGTATGCCGGGCCCCTCGGGACCGCCATGGGCCCTTCAGGAGGTGGTAACAGTATGCTGTGGGGTGTTTTTCTGCTAAAGGGACAGGACAACTGCACCGCATCAAAGGGACGATGGAAGGGGCCAAGTACCGTCAAATCTTGGGTGAGAACCTCCTTCCCTCACCCAGGGCATTGAAAATGGGTTGTGGATGGGTATATCTCAGCATGACAATGACCCAAAACACACAGCCAAGGCAACAAAAGAGTGGCTCAAGAAGAAGCACATTAAGGTCCTGGAGTGGTCTAGCTAGTCTCCAGACCTTAATCCCATAGAAAATCTGTGGAGTCCAAGTCGGCCTCGAAACCTTAATGACTTGGAGAGGATCTGCAAAGAGGAGTGGGACAAAATCCCTCCCGAGATGTGTGCAAATCTGGTGGCCAACTACAAGAAACATCTGACCTCTGTGATTGCCAACAAGGGTTTTGCCACCAAGTACTAATTTGAAGGAGTCAAATACTTATTTCACTCAATGACATGCAAGCATGCAATTTTGTATTTTTATTACACTTTGCAATCATGACAAATGGTGGAGCTGAAGGCAAGCTTCACCCTTTGTTAGCTTAACAAAGGAAGTGGAGATTGCCTTAAGCACCATCCTTTGTCAAGATCGCAAAGCACCTTACTATCCTTTGCAACAGCAGACCACCATGGCATAATGCAGTAAGGGTTTATCCATGCACTTGGACCACTTCAGTGATTTGTGCAGAGTATTGCTATGAAACACTGTACGTACTGAGTTTAACCCCTCCAGCCATGCATTTATTGACGAGATCAGTCAGCTGACACTCTCAGCCAGTAAATGGCAGGAAAAGCCGAATGCACATTACCGACCATAGAGCAGACTCAGGGCCCAGAGGTGACCCAGGTAAGAGGGCAAAAATTACTAAAACACTTTGTCCAATTACCAGGAAACAGAGCTGTAGTAGTTAGGATGTTATAAAGTAACCCTTTAAGCGTATGGTGACCTCTAACCAATATTCTCTGCTCTGCCTTCATGCTCCCAATGTGACTGACAAGGAATTTTGGTTTACGTTTGGGAGTTTCTCAATCTTCCTTTGGATAACCGTTTGCATACTGAATGGGATTTTAATTATCATAATCTACTAATCATAGCACTTTATTTGACACACAGTGTAAATTGCCTTCTGATTTTGTTAAACGGTATGTACTGATAGATATATGTAGTGCCCACCACACATCTGATTTAGATTGCGTATTTTATTCTACCACTTACTCCAAATACTCACACATATATATTTTATAGTTTCTCAATCCAGTGTTGTGGATTTTTGTAACTCCAGTATTAATACCATTTTATGGTCAGACAAGGCAGAATTTTTTCTCTACTGAAGTGTTCTGGCATGCTCTCACCCATGGTCTAGGTCCTGGAAATTTAATCTGGCATTGTTACAATACCATGAGATAGTTGAACAGGTCCATTTTCTGGAAAATGCAACACCAGATATAGCTATAGAACAGGAATCTCAAACTGTGATTCTCCCCCGTACAGAGCCTTCCTCGGCTGGCTCAAGTTCAAAGTTGACATCCACCTATTTGGGACTCAGAGGTGTGTCAGATGCCCTGACACGAGACACCCCTCATTTGTTTATATAGTTGCAATGTCCCCAACACCCCTTACTTAGAATCAAATGTCCTGTAATTTTTCATTTTATTTGTATTTGGGATTGCCCGCTTACTGTAACCTATCCACATTTTTGTCTCCTCTTTCCCTGCTTATACGAAACAAAACCTTCCATCGAGGAATGATGCCTTCCCTGTTAGTGGGCTTAGAGGATTTGGGATTTCAGAGATAACTCATGATGTATTAGTTAAAGGACCACTGTAGGCACCCAGACCACTTCAGCTCAATGAAGTGGTCTGGGTGCCAGGTCCCTCCACTTTTAACCCTGCAGCTGAAAACATAGCAGTTTCAGAGAAACTGCTATATTTCACTGAGGGTTAATCCAGCCTCTAGTGGCTGTCTCAATGACAGCCGCTAGAGGCGATTCCATAATTCTCACTGTGAAAATCAGAAGACGCTGGACGTCCATAGGAAAGCATTGAGTAATGCTTTCATATGGGCTGTTTGAATGCGCGAGCGGCTCTTGCCGAGCATGCACATTCGGATTTGACGTCGGGGGGGGTGGAGATTTCCCCAGCACAGAGGGAGCTCGGCACTGGAGAAAGGTAAGTGGCTGAAAGGGTTTTAACCCATTCAGCCCAGCGGGAGGGGGGCCCTGAAGGTGGGGGACCTAATGACCCAAGAGTGCAAGTTTGTTTTCCTGGCACTATAGTGCTCCTTTGAGTTTATTACACTTGCTTCCAAGCCACTGTTAAACGCTTGACATTAGTTATTTTTGCAGTCGTGAAGCTTTGCTCAACATGTCCACAATAGTACAACCACCTTGACAAAGAATGCAATTTTGTTTCCAAAAGACCTATGCCAAAGGTATACTCTCTATCATATACACAATTCACTCACTAACCTTTTAGATAGGAAAGATTTACTGTATTTTATGTCTTATTCTGAGAATCTGACTGTGGGAGAATTTAGAATGTGTGGACTAGTTAGAAATCTGAGAATCTACTGTTTGTAACAAAATAGGAACAGAAATGTATGCATTGGTACACCGCACCAGTCATATTATGGATCCTCCACTGATACCTGCTGGAGATTATGTGGTGTTCAGAACACATGTATTCATATGTGGTGTACCTGCCCCTCCATATAAACATTTTGACAATGGCTCATAAGCTGTGAACTACAATACTTGGTAAGCCCCTAGATCCCTGGTCCTATTTTCTATCCACTTGCTTCTTCAGAATAGAAATTGTTCACCAGCTACCTCTGGTCATTATAAGAGGCTTGGTGGAATCATAAAAAAACCACCATACAGTTTTTTTCTGCTTCATACCATATACGGTTATATATGGTGTACACTATTGACTACTCCTGGATACTTATTAGATTTTATCTAATATTCTCCCCTTTTTACTTGCACTATTAGGGAATTTTAGTAGAGTCCCTTTATTTCCAGTTGAGTGGTTTATTAACCCCTCAAGGACACATGACATGTGTGACATGTCATGATTCCCTTTTATTCCAGAAGTTTGGTCCTTAAGGTAGGGGCGTACCTAGGGCATGTGGCACCTGGTGCGGGTCCTGGGTTTGGCACCCCCCCCTACACCCCCCCTTCTCAAAAAAAAATAAAAAATGACTACATTTTTAAAATGTGTTAGATTTTTAAAAAAAATTATTGAACAAATTTGTAAACTTTTTAAAACCAATGCCCCCCTCTACAAAATCCCTGCACCCCCTCACACATAGTTACAGGCAGACAGTCACACACAGTTACAAGCAGTCACACGCACACAGTCACATGCAGACAGTCACACATTTAGTCACAGGCAGTCATACACACAGTTACAGGTAGAGAGTTACACACAAACAGTCAGTTACAAGCAGTTACACACAGTCACGCGCACTGTTACAGACAGACAGTCACATATACAGTCACACACACGGTCACAGGCAGACAGTCATACACATAGTTACAGCCACAAACACACACAGCTACAGGCAGTTACACACACAGTCAGTTACAGGCAGTCACGCACAAAGTTACATGCAGACGGTCACAGGCAGACAGTAACACACAGTTACAGGCAGACAGTTACACACACACACATATTTACAGGCGGACAGTTATACACACACACACACATATTTACAGGCAGACAGTTATACACACACAGTTACAGACACACACAAGACACACAGTTACAGACACACACACAAGACAGACACACACACACACACACACAGTTACAGACTGACAGTCACACACACACATACATACACACAGTTACAGACTGACAGTCACACACATACATATACACACACACACACACAGTTACAGACTGACAGTCACACACATACATATACACACACACACAGTTACAGACTGACAGTCACACACATACATATACACACACACACACAGTTACAGACAGACAGTCACACACACACACACACACAGTTTCAGGCAGTTACACAAACATACACACAGTTACAGGCAGACAGTTACACTCACACACACACACACACTCTTATACTTACAGACAGTGTGGGCTGGAGGAGTGGATTCCCTGAAGTCCTTCCCTAGAGCCTGGTAGGTGGAGGTGCAGGGATTTCTTCTTGCTGCACGTCCATATGCAGCAGTTACAGCAGCTTGTAAGGGCTGTGTTAAGCCCTGCCCCCGCTCGGGGTTAGGCTCCGCCCCCCAACGACTGTAGCTCCGCCCCTTCCTCCTCGCGTGCGGCCACTCTATGTGAGCTGTGCGACACCCCAGCTGCCATGGGGAACAGCTCACACAGCCCCCTCCAGCTCCAAGACTCAAGACACCCCCCTAGCAGGTGGCACCCGGGGTGGACCGCCCCCCCCCTTAGTCCGCCACTGCCTTAAGGGGTTAAAGCCATACTACATACTCTATTACTGAGATTTTCAATAATCTCAACCTTTTACTTTTGGTGGAATCATAGGCTCAACCCCCTCCTCCTATGCATTCTAAAGTAATTCTTAGAGGAACATTATAGAGTCAGGAACACAAACATATATTCCTGACCCTATAGTGTTAAAACCACCATCTAACCCAATGGCTCCATAAATATAGTAACATCTTGTGTATTGTATTATTTGGCCCCCAGCAGCACCCCCATATATGCATGTTAAGGTGAGTGCAGCCAACCCCCTCTTGTTTTATATATATATATTTGGGAGTCTAGCCAACTCCTTGGTTTTGCACCCCTCTCTGTCACAGGTGCCTCATCCCAGGGCCCTATTTAGCCTTGTACTGCAGAGAGCCCCAGATGGAATTTTTTTCCCCAAGTAGGTTAATCTCATAAGAGCAGACATTAGGCTGTTAGTGTAGGACCTGCCAAAGATGGGGTACATTGACGTTGTGGCAGGCTTATGCAATGTATGATCATATAATGTAACTAAACCCCCATTATTTTTGCCTAGATTAGGTGTTTTTAAAAAAACAAATAAAATCTTTCAACATTGAAGTTGCTGTTTAGTGGATAGGTGAGTGCGCTGGATCTTGTGTATCTTACTTGTATTCAAGTCTGCAGCTGCTACCTCTGCCTGCTTGTCTGACATCATCAGAAGTGTTGATCAAAAGCCAATCACAATGCTTTCACATCAGAGATGTGTCTACCGCGAGGCAAACGAGGCATTTGCCTTGGGCGGCAATTTCCAGGGGGCGACAAAAAACGCCGCCCCCAAATGCCCAGGCAAATACCTTGTTTCCCTTGTTTTAAGGGAGCCCAAGAGCTGGCCGGTTGGCCACCTTTGGGCTCCCGCGGGGCCACACTAAGCTGTCAGTGAGGGAGCACTTTCCTTCGCACGACCCGCTGTAATGCCGGGAGACGGAATATGACATCATATTCCAGCTCCCGGTGTTCTATCAAATTCCCCTAAATCGTCACTTCGGTGAGGGAAATCAGCTGGATCCTGTGCTGCACATGTGTGCTAGCACTCCTGCTACTCCTCCACAGCAAGGTCCTGGAAGGTAAGTAAAGCTAGTTTTACACTTTCATTATAGTTAGTTCATTCACTAAGCATAGGCACATGGGACATTTAGGGTTAAGTGAGGGTTAAAGGGTAAGGGTTAAAATAAAGTGTGAAAAAACACAATTTATAGATATTTCCCTAATGTGCAATATCACTAAATATAAACAAGTCCCTAATCCTAACCCTAATTTGAACCCTAACATTAACCCTAAATTTCCCATGTCCTAAGCTTAGTGAATGCACTAACTATAATGAAAGTGTAAAACTAGCTTTACTTACCTTCCAGGACCTTGCTGTGGAGGAGTAGCAGGAGTGCTAGCACGCACCCGGAAGTGACGAGGGTAGGGGATTTTCACGGGTAAGGAGATTTGATAGAACACCGGCATCACTCTGCGGCGCGCAAGGGAGCTGAGCAGAGAGCTCAGGGGAAAGTGCCCCCTCGCTGACAGCTTAGTGTGGCTGCCAGCCCGCCCAGGAAACACGTCTGGCCGCCTCCCTGCCCAGCAACCCCACTGGACCCCAGGTGAAAAATCCACGCAGCTATCCAAAAAGTAGGGAGGCTGGGTGGATTTCAATTTAAAAAAATAATAATAATAATAATTGTGAGTGGGGGAAATGTGTATGTGTGTCAGTGAATGTGTGTGTGTGTGTGTGTCAGTGAATGTGAGTGTGAATGTCAGTGAATGTGAGTGTGAATGTCAGTGAGCATGTGTCTGTCAGTGAATGTCTGTGTGTGTGTGTGTGTGTGTGTGTGTCGGTCAGTGAATTTGAGTGTGTGTGTCGGTCAGTGAATGTGTGTGTCAGTGAATGTGAGTGAGTGTGTGTGTCAGGGAATTTGAGTGAGTGTGCGTGTCTGTCAGTGAGTGTGTTGGTCAGTCAGTGTATATGTGTCGCTCAGTGAGTGCGTGCGTCTGTCAGTAAGAGTGTGCGTCTGTCAGTGAGTCTGTCAATGAGAGTGAGTCTGTCACTGTGTGTCCGAGTAATAGTGTATGTCTGTCTATCAGTGTGTCAAATCAGTGAGTGTGTGTAAGTCATTGTTTGTCAGTGTATATGAGAGTGTGTGTCTGTCAGTGAGTGTATGCATTTATCATTGAGAGTGTGCATCTGTAAGTGAGTGAGTCACTGTCAGTCAAAGTGCGGCCTTGATAGGAAGGGGTGGGGAAAATTAAAAATTTTGGGGGCAGCACAAATCCTAAATACACCACTGTTTCACATACGAAAGCATTGGATTGGCTAAGACTGTCAAGGAGGCAGATCACGGGCAGAGCCAGCACAAGTAAAACACAGCCCTTGCCAATCAACATCTCATCATGAATCAATGCATCTCTATGAGGAAAGTTAAGTGTTTGCATGCAGAGGGTGGAGACACTGAATGGCAGTCACACTGTGCAGCACTGCCACAGGAAGCACCTCTAGCAGCCATATGAGGAGTGGCCAGTGAAGTTATCACTAGGCTGTAATGTTAACACTGCATTTTCTCTGAAAAGACAGTGTTTAAAGCAAAAAGTCTGAAGGGACCAATTAGACTCACCAGAACAAATATAACAAGCTGTAGTTGTTCTGGTGACTATAATCTCCCTTTAACATAAAATATAACATGACTATGGACAAATATAAGAGTTCTCCTACTCTACAGAAAATCTGGTATCTTTGGCTAAATTGTGGTGAGTAGGTTTACTGTTGTCATGCTATTTTTAGGGTAATATGTGGTTATAAACTATTATGACTTTTACTCTTGAATGTTCTTCCTTCTTTGTCTTCTTCGATATCATTTCTCACTAGGTTATTTGTTTTCAATAATGCTGAAAAAATGTTCAATCATGCTGTGCTTCAATGTACATTTTGAGTTGTACATTTGTGACTTTCTTAAAGATTCTGAAAAGAAGCTTTAAATAATTTAGAGATCATTCTATCTGTAGGGTTATATTCAGAAAACCCTGCAACCCTTCAAAAAAGTATTATTATTTTTTGTTAGAACCATTACAAATACTAGGAAACAAGCAATTAATGTTAAGACTACCACGAGTCAAAAATCTAAGATTAGTGACTTCTACTAAGGGCTTCCGTGCTTGCTGTTAAAAGGCTGGTAAAGCATTGTAAATACTAACAGACTGTAGATCCTAAAAAAGTATCAACCCCATTTTACGGTTAACACTTGCATTTGAAATAGAGTGCATTCTCTACTGATATCCACCACCTCTTAGGTATATTATTTTGCTAATTTGATGTACGTCAAGGAATCATTGCCATTGGATACTGTAAATGGCATAGGCAGAGGGACTGTTGAAAGGCCTGTCACTCAGTGCATGACAGGTACATTGTCGCCAAATGGGCTATAGGAGCTGACCATTACCTTTTTCCCAACCCACACCAATGAAACACTGACACTTTAGGGTATGGGTCAAAATGTCCACAGCTTTTATTTATAATATATAATAATAATAATAACGATAATATATAAATAACATAAAAGTCATTGCCCACCCCCACATCCACAGCCATCCATCATTATCATTTTCCACATATCAGTTCGCAAGGCAATGACCCATCATATATAACATAACATAACATTGTATAACAATCCATAAGTACAACAAAACAAGATCCAACATTTTCCACACGATCCTGGCAGGGGTATACCTTGATACCCCTACACCACCCGGGTTCATAGCTACCAACGAGCTCGAAACCACCAACATCTTACCAACTGGTAACCAGTCCATATTGAAACAGCCAACTCACTACTCTTGCTCTACGCTTCCTTAAGCAGGCCCGTTACCATCTTAACTTTCCTTTCACTAGCCCGCCGCTGTGACCAAGTGGGTAGAATAAAACCCAACACTAAAGGGAGGGAGGGACCAATTCAGCCTGGTACGTCAATTAGTAATGAGGTGTTATAAAATGTCCGACATTTATATCAGCCTACCCAGAATCCTGATCTATCAATCACCAACCCCTGCTCCCCTAAGCCCGCTTCCAAGCCCTGTCAAGGCCCCCTCTGCTAAGCTGCGCTTTCTTCTTGGGGCTACATGAGCACTTTACCTGCGTTCCTTTGAATGCTGTAGACTTTTCAGATAAACAAACATGCAACACCTTAGCTAGTTACACTGTTCTGAGTGCATTTCCGAGTTCATTGTAAGCCCTGGTATATTGTCGGTCACAAATGCAACTTTTTTTGACAATCTCTGAACCAATGAGGAGATAGAAACTCTGTGTTTTAAGTCTTCTTTCATTATGTTGGATATGAGAAGTCTGGCTAAGTAAGGTGAATTATCTGACTAATTTTTGTAAGTTCGGGTTTCTGAGAGAATCTGTAAATGTCATGTGTTACTCTATACTCTCATTAAAGAACCACTCTAGGCACCCAGATCACTTCAGCTTAATGAAGTGGTCTGGGTGCCAGGTCCAGCTAGGGTTAACCCATTTTTTCATAAACATAGCAGTTTCAGAGAAACTGCTATGTTTGTGAATGGGTTAAGCCTTCCCCTATTTCCTCTAGTGGCTGTCTCATTGACAGCCACTAGAGGCGCTTGCGTGCTTCTCACTGTGATTTTTCACAGTGAGAGCACGCCAGCGTCCATAGGAAAGCATTATGAATGCTTTCCTATGTGACCGGCTGAATGCGCGCGCATTCAGCCGACGGGGAGGAGAAGAGGAGGATCGGAGGAGGAGAGCTCTCCGCCCAGCGCTGGAAAAAGGTGAGTTTTTTAACCCCTTTCCCCCTTCCAGAGCTGGGCGGGAGGGGAACCCTGAGGGTGGGGGCACCCTCAGGGCACTATAGTGGCAGGAAAACAAGTATGTTTTCCTGGCACTATAGTGGTCCTTTAAGCTATCGAGTACAAGTCAGAGGTTCTCGTGCACAGAGTGTTTGCTTGTTTGAGAGTGACCGTGTATCAACAACAAGCTCATTGCTCTTAGCTCTCGATTTTGTGTTGTGTCAGTTTGATCTGAAGAGAATTTCTTCAATAGGCATAGTGGAGGAATCTGAATACTGGTGAATACCATGTTAATATAGCTGTTCCCTGGGTGCAGTCTGGAAATAAAAACAAGTTTTTATCTCCTGCTCTGTTAATTGAACTTTAATCACACAAAGTAGACATATGCAGGCTATTAACAGAGCAAGAGATAAAAAAAAAAACAAAAAAAATCTAAATTAAACTCACTGGCCAATAAAGGAAGTTTAAACATTAGATCTCTCTTTACAGGAAAGATTTATGGAGTCTGTGTAAGTTACATGAAGGGAGGTGTGGCTAGGGCTGTATAAACAAAGTGATTTAACTCCTAAATGGCATAGAATTGAGCAGTCAGATTGCAGGGGCAGGATCCCTAACACCAAAACCACTCCATTAAGCTAAAGTTGTTTTGGTGACTATATTGTCCCTTTAAAACACACATGGCCTATTTGTATCTGCCAGCAATCTGCAAAGCGGAATAATAGCCACATATAATACAGAGGAGGGCTGGTAGAGGATGCGGGGAGAATAATTAGCTTCCTAGGACACTGGTATAGTGAAGACTGTGGCGTGATGCACAACAGAATACTAAAATGTAATATTGACTATATTCACATAATATTGTTTTACAGTTATTGACATTTCCTGGTTTGACCTCAGATAGGAGCAGTTGTTCGCAGTAGTCCCCCCCTTCCATTGCCAAATATAACCTGCTCTATCATGATACAGTAAGTACAGTTGCTTGACTATTACAATCTGCATATGAGCCCTGCAGACTTTAGATTTGGTTTATGACACCTAACGCATATAGGAATGTATCCAATGATTTCATAGTAATGTCCAGATCTCATATTGTTTGCATGACTGTCTTTTTAATTGCAGTAGAATGCAATAAATGCTAGCAATCCCATTACATTTTTTTTTTTTTTGTGGACACAGTAAATGTAAGAAATCCCAATTACATCGTTTTTTTACAGACAGCGGTTTTAATAAGTGTCATATTCTGAATAAAAGAGAAAGCGTGTTAACGCCAGGCTCGTGATATAAATGCCATTTTATAATCTGTTCTTCTGAGCTGCAGTGTTTTAAAACAATGCACCCTTTCATGTGCTTAAGTCCTCTTAAGAAATTAAAAAGGATGCAGGGATTTTGTATTCATGGCGATTATTTGGCTGGTATGTCTCGGCGGTTATTAAATAAGGATTAGGTATAACAGCAAGGGTTTTGGACCGTAATACTCAAAATAACATAAACAGCTAGCTCAGTTCTTTATATTCTTGTGACACTAATCTATTCAGCACCCAGTAAAACCACCAGTAATTTAACAACCATTTGCACTTTGAGTCCATGAACTATATTCTCCGTAACCTCTGGTTTGTGAGATGGATGTACAGTCTGTGCTGCACAGAATATACTTCTCAAAAAAGTAACATGACAATGAATGGATCAATTATTGTATTAATAATTTATATATACTTAGTCTAGTCCACCTTGGCAGCCCTGGGCAGGCCTTCATAAGGGAACTAATCTATTTTGCCATGGCTCTCCTTTTGGCTCAGTTCTTCTCGCTTGTAACTGTATGCACATGGAATACGGTGTTATTGTAATGGAGAAATTAGGGTCTGCCAGAGCAGGGGTTGACAAAGCTAAATCTCCAGCTCTGTCTTGTGGCTGGAAAGGCATTGTGGGAGTTGTAGTTTTAAAGCAGATAGGATTGGCATTTGGCCACCCATGGGCTAGAGGCTTCAATTTAAGGGTTACTCAAACCCCAAAACACTGTTTTTGTTTAGAATAGCCTTTGCCATGCTCCCCCTCCAATTGAAAACAAATAAAAAACTAAAACATAGGCCCAGGCCAGGTTCTCCCTCACCCTGATTTTACTCCTCGGAAGTCACTTTCTCTCACCAGAGGGGGACGGATGTCATGGAGGACAGGCTGACGGAAGGACATGGGCTGGCTAATTGAGCCCAGTGATGCTGCTGGAGGTGGTGTTACACCTCTGATTGCAAAGGGCTTATGTCAGAGCTTTCCGAACTTTTCATGTTGGTAACACACTTTCCAGACATGAATCATTTTGTGACACAGCGACGGTCGAGAGGGTGTTGATATGCGTGGGATAGGCATAAGGCTATCCTAACTATAAGATAAGACCAGGGACTAATGAAAGTATTTAGAAAATTGGGCAGACTAGATGGGCCGAATGGTTCTTATCTGCCGTCACATTCTATGTTGCTATGTTTCTATGTTTCTAATACAACAATAGCAAAAAAAAAAAAAATATCAACATGCGCACCATTTTCATACTTTTCCTTAAAGAACCCTGTTTCTATGTGTTCTATATCGCGAACAAGTCACTTCAGCAGCAGTTTCGACACAATTGTGCATGCCCAGTACATGTATGATCCCTGACCATCTCTCTTGCCCTATTCACAATATGGTAATATAACATACCCAGCGCAAGTTTGCTCTTCTCACCTTATTAATTGTTGCTGGCTGGCTGCTGCGGCTGGTTGGCAGGTAGATTTCTTCCCCCAGCACCTTTGTGCATTTGTTTTTCCCCAACCCCTTTGTTTGTCTCTTCCCCCAGCCCTTCTGTGTGTCTCTTTGTCACCCTCAGCCCTTTTATGTGTCTGTTTGTGCCCCCTCATACCCTCTGTGTGTCTCTTTCTGCCCCCTCCTCTTATGCGCCCTTCTGCTGTCCCCCTCCCATCCTGTGCACTTCTTCTGTCCTCCTCCCCTCCTGTACCCTTCTTCTGTCCCCACCACCCCTCCTGTGCACTTCCGCTGTCCCCCATCTCCTCATGTGCCCTTCTTCTGTCCTGCTCCCCTTCTGTGCTATTCTTCTGTCTCCCCTTCTTTTAAACATTGTGCAAACATGTCTAATGATGCGCTTGAGCTATGGTTGTTGGAGACTGTTCCCTGATAATTTTAATTTTCAAGCCAAAATCAGGACAGTTGGGAGATATGCATATCTGCACAACAAGATGAGATTGTCATACTAGACCTTGCTGTTAACAGGCAGCAAAGAGTAAGCAACTAGGGATCGACCGATTATCGGTTCGGCCGATATTTTGTATTTTCAGCAATATCGGTATCAGCTAATAAAGATACCGATAATGCAGACCAGGGCTGCCCGCGCACTCTTACTTACCTTTCCAGCAGCTCCCTTAAGCTCCCCTGTCAAACTCTTGCGAGTCCCACGACTGTCAGAGCGTTGCCACGGGTTACCATGGCAACGCTCCGAGCAGCACACAGACCGCGAGAGTTAGACAGGGGAGCTGCTGGGAAGCAAAGTAAGAGTGTGCTGGGCCCCCCCAGGACTGCTGCTGGCTCCCCAGGGAATGCCATATCCTCCCTCTCTGGCCTGGTAAGATGCAGGGAGGGGGGACTAAAACAAAATGTAAATTTTCTTTTTATTTTTTAAGTTAAAAAAAGAAATGCCCCCCCCCCCATTTTACACACATTACATACCTACACAAACACTCACTGCACAAACACACAAACTTTGCATTCATTTTATACACACAGTACACAAACACTGCATTCACTATGCACACACTACACATTGCACATTGCATTCAATATACACACACTACACAAACACACACTCTGCATTTATTATATACACACTACACAAACACACACTGCATCCACTACACACACACATATTCTTGAAAACATAAAACATTCTGACTGGCATGTATATTTTGTGCATTTACCTTAATTAAAAAAAGATTTGCAAATAAATAAATAATTAACATGTTCAAGTAACAGTAGAATTGTGTAGAAATAGTTTATTTTTTCAAAATGGTAAATGTACAGAATATCGGTAAATTATCGGCTATCAGCCTGAAAGTTCACAGATTATCGGTACCGGCTCTAAAAAATCAATGTTGGTCGATCCCTATAAGCAACAAATGGAAAAAGGGCATTTCAGTAGCAAAATTAAATGTTAGACAGGTAAACTGCACAAGGGACATTACATTGCTTTCATTTCTTACCTCTTTCAAATAGAATTTTACTGCAAACAGAACATAATTTGCTGTTTTCTGCTATCTGGAATTTCACCAGTAGGTGTCAGTCTTTTGAGACAAAATGTTCAAGCAAAACTACTTAGGAGTGCCGCATTACTTTATTGGTTTTCTGTGCCCTGCTAAATAACTTTTTGTTAAGTAACAAAAATGGTGAACTATATTTTTTAACGACCCTTATCAAAGGTATAAGGTATAAATTATGTAAAAGGAACACAATATTGAAGAAAAAAACACATTTTTTAAGCAGACTGTGTATTTATTTTGATTTCGGGCCCTTTTTATAAAACAAACAAGCAACAAAAAAAATGTAAACATGGCAAGTAAACATACCTTTATTCGATCCGACTGCTCTGAAATCATCAAACTTGATGACTTTTAACCAATTCAGTGCGCCTCCCAGAGAAACATTTAGCCCAGTAACAGCTCACCTTGTTATTCATTTAGGATATGGTTAATAAGCTGGAGGAACATCCCACTGCCCCATTGCCTCCACCCATGGGTGACAAGTGGTAGCTCTAACATATAACATATACTAAAATGGCCCCGAACCCCCATGTCCCCACCCTTGCCTCCCTAAATATAGTAAAATCTTACTTGTATTCAAGACTGCAGTTGCTGCCCCTGGCCTGCCTGCTTGTCTGACACCATCATAAGTGTTGATCAAAAGCAGTTACAATGTTTTCACATAGGAAAGCACTGGATTGGCTAAGACTGTCTAGGAGGCAGATCAGGGGCAGAGCCTGAATTGAATCAATGAATCTCTATGAGGAAAGTTCAGTGTCTGCATGCAGAGGGTGGAGACACTGAATGGAAGTAACACTGTGCAGCACTGCCGCAGGAAGCACCTCTAGCAGTCATCTGAGGAGTGACCAGTGAAGGTATCCCTAGGCTTTAATGTAAACACTGCATTTTCTCTTAAAAGACTGTGTTTACTGCAAAAAGCCTGAAGGGAATGATTCTATTCACCAGAACAAATACAATACAATGTAGTGGTTCTGGTGACCATAGTGTCCCTTTAAGTTTCTGCCCTTCCCCCCCCTAAATCTAATTTAAAAAAATGGAAACAACGGTTTTACTCACCTTTTTTTTCCCAACACCAAGATACCAGTCCCTGTAGCAACTTCACAGGCCTCACTGGCCGACTCTTCTTCTCTCTTCTTCTACCTATTGCTCCACGTAGAGGATCAAATGGAGATTAACTGCGAGAACTGAGTTTGACTCGGTTCTCACAATGGAAGTGCAGCTAGTGGTTGGCATTAAGACTGCCACGAGGGGCGTGTTAATCCTGCAGTTTAAACATTGCCTTATCTACTAAACGGCATTGTTTGATATTGTCATTTTAAACTAAAGTCCAGCTGCGGTGGTCCTTAGTGGTCATTTAAGTACAGTGCATTAAGAAAGTATTCAGACCCCTTAATTTTTACAGTTTTTATGTTATTTTATTTTTTATTTATTTTACAGTTGTTTAAATATTTTTTTTCCACATCATTCTATACACATTAACCTTATAATGGCAAAGCAAAAAACTGATTTTTGAAATCTTTGCAAATATATTATACAGTAAAACACTGAAATATCACATAGTCATAAGTATTCACACCCTAAAGTCAGTATGTAGTTGAAGCACCTTTGGCAGGGATTACAGGCTCAAGTCTTTTTGGGCATGATGCAACAAACTTTGTACTCCTGGATATTGGTTGTTTCTGTCGTTCATTTCTGCAGATCCTCTCATGCTCTGTCAGGTTTGATGAGGACCTTCCATGAGCAGCCATTTTCAGATCTCTGCAGAGATGTTTCATTGGGTTCTCAATAACATTCACAGAGTTGTCCCTAAGCTACTCTTGCAACGTCTTGGCTGCATGCTTATGGGTTATTGTCCTGTTTAAGACGAACCTTCAGCCCAGTCTAAGGTCCTGAGAGCTCTGTACCAGGTTCCCCTTAAGGATATCTTTTTATTTTGCTACGTTCAGCTTTCCCTCAACCCTGATCCATCTCCCACCCCCTGCTGCTGAAAAACCACCCCCAAATCATGATGCTATGACCACCATTCTTCACCATTTGGATGGTATTGTGACATAATGTTTTGAAATAAAGCCAAGTGGTTCAATCTTTGCTCAATCAGACCAGCAAATCTTGCTCTTATGTCAATTTCATGGTTGAGTAAGGATAGGGTTCCATCTGAACATTCTGACATTAAGGCCAGATCTCTGGAGTGTTGCAATGATAGATTTCATTTCACAAGTTTCTATCATCTACACAAACGATCTCTGGAGCTCACCCAGAGTGATTATCGAGTTGTTGGTCATATCTCTTACCAAGACCCTTCTCCCGCTATTGCTCAGTTTTCCAGACAGCCGGCTCTAAGAAGAGTACTGGTTGTTTCATACTTCTTCCATTTAAGAAATACGGAGGACACTTGTTTTTTTTCCTTCTGAAATACATTTACAGATGTGAGACTGTATATAGGAAGCTGTGTGTCTTTCCTAATTGTGCCCAATAAATGTAATTTGCCACAGGTGGACTCCAATCAAAGTGTAGAAACATCTCAAAGATGGTTTAGAAAAATGGCATGAATCTGAGCTATACTGTATGTGTCATAAAAGGATGTGAATACTTATGTCATTGTGATATTTCAGTTTTTCTTTTTAATAAATTAATTCAGGAAGAAGGTCCATAAGATAAATTAGTTAGCAATTGCTCATCCCAATAAAGGTACAATAAAAAAACAGAGCACACTGCAAGAATGTTGAAAACAATGTATTATAAAAAATATGAGATCTTCTTAATTATATCTCTCTTTATATAAAGCTTTATTTATTTATTTTCCTCTGTATTGTATAATGGTTTGAAATTATATAATTTATATATATAATCCATTTTTTTCCCCCCTCTATATTGTATAATGGTTTGAAATTTGTTACGAGCACATATGGATTAATTGAATTCGGATTCTGATCTCAATTGCGTTTACTAAATTACACTCATTTATATACCCCACTTTAGTTTGTTTCTCAAATTAAATAATTTTTGATTCCCATATTCTGGGAAATCTGAGAAGTATTTTGACATATCTAAAAATTTCGGTTTATGAGTATTGACTAAAACGTGGAAATTGTGATGAAATTAAATTTAGATTTCCAATACGTAAGACAGAAAACCTTGGCTTGCATTGAAAAGAGGAGTTAAGGAATTTGTTAGATTTCCACTTCAACTTAGTTTTCTTATTTATAAATAATCCTAATCCCCTTAATATTCAATTTTGGTGCTTTCCATTCCTTCCTAACCAAACAGTCTTTCTGTGTTGCTTGCTATAGCAACTAATTACCCCGACGTGTGAGGATTGAGAATTACTCTGGCTTGCCAGCAATCCTGTTATTTTCGAGTTAGTAAAATTTACGGTTACCGGGACAATGAGGCATGAATGAATAAAACGTGTGGTTCCCAAGCACTTTGTCACCAGCCGTAAATGATGCTTTATATCTCTGATAAATGTATCTCTGGGTGGAGAGAAGGTCACTTGTACAGGTCATCCCTTACTTGTATCTTGGCCATGTTCCTTGTTTGTTATGGAGTGACTCCAAACCTTTTAATATGGTGTCTTTCAAGAAGAAGGGAAAATCATATATTTTTGTTATCAAACATTGGTGTTAGAACATTTCAGCACATCTTAAAGGGAATAGTCATATTTTTTTTCTGGATTTGTTGTGGTGACAAATCTTGCTCTGTAAAGTAATGTCCTCAGATTCTCAGTAGTGTTTTTGAGGACATTCATTCCACCAACTTACAAAATGGAAAATAGATTTCAGTGCATACAGAGGTGTCAGAGATTTTGACATTCATGTGTTGAAACGTTGCCATTTTTTTGAATAAAGTTGAGATCCAACTGAGTGTCTGGGAACATTACATTATTGGACTATTAAGAGTTTCCTAATCTAACGCCACAGCTCCGGAGGTAAGTCGGTGGAGTGTTGAGGAATCTCCAGGAAAGCAGTGTATGACAAACAGACCTTGGGAAGAACTACATTGTGATAAATTGTGGGTTAGTTGAGACTTATCAAAACTTACATAGCCTCCTAACATCAGTGGCAACCCAGTGGGCAGGGTAAAAGGGGGCAGGCCGGTGATGCAAATTACTTCACTGGTGCAGCCCAAAATGAGCAAACCCACCCAGAATAGGGCCGTATCCACCCAAATAACTGGCATGCCAGGCTACCTGCCAATCATACAGGCCAGCACACTGAAAGCAGACAATGCAGTGAGATTTGTTTTAGTGCTCTCCACGGAATCCTATTGCCTTTGGTGTAGCGCGAGTGTGTTTAATGATATGTTTACGTTATACTTTTTTGGGACAGTTCCTTTGTGTCCCCAAAAGTGGGACACCAAGGAACACACCCAGGACAGCGGGACAGGGCCCTAAAACCTAAACCAGGGCTAAGCAATCTTCGACACTCCAGATGTTGTGGACTACATAACCCATGATGCTTTGACAGCATTATGGCTGTAAGAACATTATGAGAGATGTAGTCCTCAACATCTAGAATACCAAAGGATGCCTGCATCTAAACTGTGACCTAAATCAGGATGATTGGGAGACTCGAAACATATCAAAACTGATTTCCAATTTTACACTATAATCATTAACATTTCAAGAGCTCATTTGTTCCCTCTATCAGTGCAGTTCTTTGTACATAAATAGATCAATGTCTTTACACAAAAGCACTAGTTGAAAGTTATTGTGGGCAGACACTCATTGCAGCTACTGATGGTATAACCCTAAACATAGTAAAGTTGGTAACAAACATTCTTATACTGATAAAAGCTGGGCAGATAAAAAAAAAAAGTAATGTATGTAGAGCTGAAAAAAAGGTTTAACTTGCTTTATGTATGGCATTTTAGTGATACATTTGGGCTCAGGGCTGCCATATGGTACACTCACAAACATGTGTACACACACACTCTCACACCCAGACAGATACACACTGCCAGAGACATACACAACAACTCCCAGACACACACACATACCCAACTCCCAGACACACGCGCATACCTAACTCCCTGACACACACATATCCAACTCCCAGGGATACACGCGCATACACAACTCCCTGACACACGCGCATACCCAACTCCCAGACACACGGACATACCCAACTCCCTGACACACATATATCCAACTCCCAGACACACACGCGGATACACAACTCCCAGACATACACATATCCAACTCCTAGACACACGTGCATACCCAACTCCTAGGCAAACGCATACACAACTCGCAGACATACACAACTACTAGACACACACACACTAATACACAACTCACAGAGTTGCATGGCAAAATGTATGCTTTTCCCATTTTTAGTCACCCTGGCATCTAGGAAAGCGAGGCTGGGGCAGGTACACAGCTCTTCTTGAACATTGGGGGATATGGTATGACATCACATTCTCCTATGATGTGAATAAATATTGGAGCTGTCAGTAGAGTGACCTGCTCAGTTGGAGAGCTGCAGTCGCTACCTTATTAAATGAGATTTAAAAAAATAATACGAAAATGCCTGTTCATCCAACAGTGAATGGTGATGTGTTTGCAATTAATTTTAAACATTTAGGTTGAAGTAACAGAATGCTACAGAGTGGAAATAATTATGTGGCAAAAGAGGAATTTGTCGGAAATGTGAAATTAAATGTAAATTGTATTAACACTGTCTGACTTATTCATCTAGTTCTTTATTGTGTCTCCTTTTTAGGCTGGCAGTGATGGTGAGAGTGTTGGCAACTGTCCGTTCTCCCAGCGTTTATTTATGATCCTTTGGTTGAAAGGGGTAATATTTAACGTGACCACCGTGGACCTGAAGAGGTAATTACCTAAAACAGTGCATTTAAAAGTAGAATGGACTTTTGTTGTTGCTTTGAGCATTTTAGTGACAAAGGAAAATAGTTAAGAGTGTCAAATAATTACGAGGGCATTGTAGAGGAAAGAAGGTATTTACGGGGGTCATAGATATTTACGGGGGTCATGCGTGCAGGAGATAGGGGAAAGAAAAGGTAAGTGATACACTAGTGCAGGAGTAGGCAACCTTTGGTATGTTAAGGGAGATTATTTGCCCCATAAGGCTCCTACAGCCTGAAATTTTTGCATTAAAATATCGGGAATGTAATCCAGAATATCTGGACTGCACAAGGTTGCCTACCCCTGCACTATAAACACTGGATCTTTATGGCTGCAGTGAGAGATGGGTGAGCAGTTCATTTCTCTTAAAGCATTAAAATATTTTATTGCATAAGGACATGTTAGCACTTAACATGAACCTGTAATTACATGTTTACAAGTCTCACACACTGCTCAACATGCAATCATTGTGACAAAAACTGTATGTTACATTGTAGTCGGGGAGAGAGCGCAGGTAAACTTTTCATTTGGGCTGTTTATTGATTGACGTTAAGCAATACTAAGTAATATAGCCATTGCACCTATCCAATGGGATTTTGAGCAGAGGGCTAATATCTGTGTTCTAGTGGTTGTTGAGATTTTTTTTTTTTTATAGATTTGTATAGATTTTTATTTTGTACAGTTGACAATCTAAATATGTGGGGGGTTTTTAAGTCTCTAATATATTTTGTTTATAAATTTATATTTTGTTGATTTATATTTATGCGTGTGAAACACACTAGTATGCAGCTGCTTGTTTTATGTTTTTAGGTAAAATCATTGGGCAGTAATTGACACTGTTGTACGCAGCTTGCAGACCTATTTTTATTTAAATGACAGTAGGCAAAGCAAACCAAACTACTAGTTATTCAAATGAGTTAAATATCTTTTTCATTTATTTGTAAGATTCAACGTTGACTTATTATAAGGTCGTACCACAGCTTCATAATACACATCAGTAAAATATTTTTCATTTTAGGTGCTATTTCTCTTTCATTTCAGAAGATAGGATAATTATTTGGCTGTAGAGCTATTTCACACCGAAGGAGCAGTAGAGCATTAGAAATAGAAAACTATATATATTTTTTTTAATTCTTTATTTAAGAGAGTCAGTCAAATAGAAATACAATGTACATCTATAATAGAATAAGCATGTGTTTAACATAGGACAGATAATATGCTTAATAAATAATAATTTGAATTTCTTCTTCTTACTGTGTCTCTTATTGAGATATTATGTTTCAGTTGTATTAAGATCATAATTCTGCTCTCATAATTTTAACAAGTAAAGAATTTTAAAAACTGCCTCAGTCCTTAGCCTTAGGTGAGTGAGCCCCCTCCGTGACAATGAGAGGCTTAAAAACCCTCTTTTCACTTACCTTCACGCCAGTGGAGGACTTAGTGCATTTGTGCTCCAAGCACCGAAAACACATTAGACCTCTCCCATAATAAAGCATTGAAGCAATGCTTTCCTTGGAGATTTTGAAAGACAAAGCATTACCTTTTGTGTCACTATACCCAACTCCCTCTATCATGTAAGCTCATTGAGCAGGGCCCTCAACCCCTCTGTACCCGTTCGTCCAGATTGTCTGGTTACAATTACGTGTCTGTTAGTCCACACATTGTACAGCGCTATGGAATTTGCTGGCTCTATATAAATAATATAATAATAATAATGAAGACGTCCAACATCGTTTCACAGAGTGAAACTTCAAGAAGTGCTCTAGTGGCTGTCTGGAAAACAGACACTAGAGTTTATCTTAACCCTGCAATGTAAACATTGCAATGAGATGAAGTGGTCTCGGTGCCTATAGGATCCCTTTAATTAATAAGAAAAGGGAAAAGGACAGTGGCACAAGTAAATTTCTTTGATAATACCAAAAATGTTTTATGGATAAAGTATACCGATCGGAAAGAATAATTAAAACCCATATATTTGTTTCCACAGTCACTAACACCCTTGTGCCATCTCTGCAGGAAACCAGCAGACTTGCAGAACCTGGCTCCTGGAACAAATCCTCCTTTTATGACGTTTGATGGCGAAGTAAAAACAGATGTTAATAAAATAGAAGAATTCTTGGAGGAAAAACTTACAGTGCCAAGGTATGTTTTTTAACAGAGATCCAGAGCAGCGTCTGGGGCTGAGTGTAGGGGGAAGAAAAAAAGCCTGCGTGCAAGCCTTTGATGGTCCATGCGACATGAACCTTCGTACCGTCTTTTACGTCCCGTTTAGTTTATTGTTCTCAGAGGTTTTTTGTTTTTTTTCCCCCAACATTCTTTTTTTATTCAGCAAAATATATGACTGAAGTCCTAAGTAATGACAGCACCTGTGCACAAACAGCAAGGAAAACACAGTTCTAATCAAATAAATCATTATTCACAACTGGTCCAATGTGAGTTGTAAGAAGGGATAATCATGGAAGGGACATGGGATATTATGATATAAATAATAGAACTGTGGGTGATTTAACTCTGCAAAGTGCGGGTAAACATCTCTATACCTTAAGGCTTAGAGTGCAAACTGTAACAAAATGCAGCTAATACATAACCTGTATGAGAGGTTTTCAATTAAACATAATGTAGTGCTGTATAAATAAGTTTAATTTAGAATGTTGTGCGTATGTATAAATTATATATGTTAAAGGGACATTTTAAGCACTATAACCACTTCAGCAGCATCCACTGGCTGATGATCACTGCCAATGAGTAATGTCCAAAGTAGATAGGCATTGGAATGCTAATGCATAAATTTGAACTTTAGCATAGCTTTGCAGAACAGGACTGTTTGGCAGCCGAATTGAGCAAAGTAAGTGTCAAATCATTCATAAGTGGACTGATTGACAGCTTACCCTTGAACAATGTCAACAGACTTGAGGCACCATTGCCACTAGAGTGCGCAGGAGTGGTTATGGTACTTAGAATATCCATTCAAGGAACAATCAAGCTCACATGAGCTTGATTAGTGTGAGCAGGTTCTGGAAGATGGTTTCGGCAATCATGTGGACATAATTTAGAGTAAATTATGTGTATGTAACTATATGGTGGTGAAAATGCGTATCCTCGGGTTTATAACTAAATATATAATCTATTCCATTGTGCTTCCCCTCTAGCGATCTAAGGGCTATTTTTAAGAAGGGAGGGACTACCCATTATTTAAACTGCTAGATTTATATGCAGTATATGTTACTACCTGTCCCCTCTACCTTCCTCTCTATAACTGCTCTATATTTTATAATCTATTCATAGATATGTCATTGAGCACTCTAAGCATCATGATATCTATGCTCCATACTTTCTAATTTCTCTCCAACTATATAGTCGCTTAGTTTGAATATATAACTTGTATTTTTTTTGGGAGGCAATTGTTCTGTGTATATACCCCTTATTAACATATATATTTTGTTTTTGAGGGGGCACTCTGTCTAAACATTACAATTGTTTGCCAATTCTTCACTATATATGCTACCTCGAATATAGGAGCGTTTGACCATTTTGTATGGTTTGAATTAACTTTAAAATATAAGTGCTTCTGCACTACTAGAGGTAATATTTAAGTGATAGCCCTATTTACTTCTTGCCGTCCCTTATTTTGGTTGGTATACCAGACTTACTAGGATAGCACTGCAGAAGCCCATAGAGCCAGCCTAAATAAAGCTCAGAGGGGATATCTGCTGCTAAGAATATGCTGGTGATACCGTTATACCACTCAGGGATTATGGGACATTTTTGTATCTACCTGACTTTTTAAACTCACACTTTATTGGGACATCTCAGTCCTTGAATCCAATGTATATAGCATATTGTTATTAGGCTGCTGTACATTTCCAGGTAACACAACTAGGCACATTTGTCTTTTGGCATTGTGACTAGCATTTTATGTTATTCTCCCCCTTTGTTTCATTAAATATATAATCTAACACTAAAAACAGGGAGCAGTGAAAATAACCTAACCTGGCCAGAAAGCCTCCAAAATACATGGGTAGAGAGTAGAAGCAAATCACTGTGTGCACAAAGTCAACTTCAGAGCAAAGCGAACAAACATCTTCCGATAACGATGGGCGAGGCGATTGCTGCACTTATTATTATTTATATAGCGCCATCAGATTCCGTAGCGCTGTATTATCTTATTATTAATAATAAGCTTATTATCGGAGACATAAAGGCCAGGCCCCACGTGTTCCTAGAAATTAAGAATTATCGTTACTGGGTGTGTTGTAATTTCCTGCAGACAAGACATTCCATAATGGCAGTCTCCTGGTCCAGCAAATTAAAGGTTTAGCATGCAGATCGACAGAGTCATTCTCAGCCAGAATGTATGAGCAGCCTGAACTCTAGTTACATTCATCTGGGCCTCTGTGGCGTATAGCAAAGTGGGGAACCTAAGTGGTAGGCCTTAATCTCTGGCAGATATTGATGGCCCACGGATTGTAAATGGTTCTGACTCCAGTAATCTATAACTATGTACCATTGCTACAGCTCCACCTACTGTCTGACAAATATACTTCTTGGATACAATAACTATGATGTATGATATAATAGATTGTCCTGCTGTAAGGTGCTTCGGTATGGAGGCCATCTTGACACTCTTACATAAACTAGAATTTCTCTAAAATAAAAAACTTTATAAATATTTTATTGATGGCATCCACACAAGGGGTTAAATGAAAGAGAATCTAAGGCATGAGACGTCAGAAATCCAGTTTATTGACAATTTTAGGTAGTTCCAAGAGTACCTATATACCAAGCCACTTCATTCTATGTCAAGACCAGAAATTGACTAGATCTAGCCTCCAAGCTAGGTATAACTTGGAGGAAAGACGAGACGGGGGGGATATGATATAAACATTTACATACATAAAGGGAATCAACACAGTAAAGGAGGAGACTATATTTAACCCTTTAAGGACCAAACTTCTGAAATAAAAGGGAATCTTGACATGTCACACATGTCATGTGTCCTTAAGGGGTTCAAAGAAGAAAAACTACTACAACAAGAGGACATAGTCTTAAATTAGAGGGGCAAAGGTTTAAAAATAATATCAGGAAGTATTACTTTACTGAGAGGGTAGTGGATGCATGGAATAGCCTTCCAGCTGAAGTGGTCGAGGTTAACACATTGAGGGAGTTTAAGCATGCGTGGGATAGGCATAAGGGACTAATAAAAGCATTTTGAAAATTGTGCAGACTAGATGGGCTGAATGGTTCTTATCTGCCGTAACATTCTATGTTTCTAATGTTACAACACAGTCTTTAAAATACTTGTCCTCCCCATTGAAATGTTTGTTTTGTATAAAACACAGATACATTAGGGTCCAGCTCTAGCATTTTTCAGGCCCTGTTCTATAGCCAGTAACCTTTTTGTATCTCATTATAAGTTTAAGTGAAATAGCAAAAATAGATTTCCTTAAGTAATGTATGCTGACCAAAGTGTTTTTGTCCAGTATAGCCCGCATTATGCTTTTCTGACCCATGTTTAATATTTTATAAAGGTATCCCAAGCTTGCAACAAAACACCCAGAATCCAATTCAGCAGGAAATGATGTGTTTGCAAAATTCTCAGCTTATATAAAGAACCCCAGAAAAGATTTAAATGAAAGTAAGTATTTATGTAACCTGCATATAACTGTTACATAAAAGATAAAGTTTTTATGCATTGCCCAAATTAATATGTGCGTTTTATTTGAACCACTTTACACGAGTTCTATAGTGTGAGATATTAAAGGGACAGCATCATAAAAAAAGTGTATTTTTCTTTTCTTTTTCTATTTTGCTTATCAGTTTCCACACTGCTGTGGAATATAGATAGAATGTGTTATAATAAGTGTTTGCACCTATTAATTGTGGTTAACTCCTTAAGGACCAAATTTCTGGAATAAAAGGGAATCATGACATGTCACACATGTCATGTGTCCTTAAGGGACACTATAGTCACTAGAACAATTTCAGCTTATTGTATTTGTTCTGGTGAGTATAACCTGTCCCTTCAGGCTTTTTGCTATAAAACACTGTATTTTCAGAGAAAATGCAGTGTTTACATTACAGCCTAGAGATAACTCCACTGGCCACTCAGATGGCTACTAGAGATGCTTCCTGGAGCCGTGTTACACACTGTGCAGCACTGACATTGGGGCGGGGGCTCGTGGGCTAGATGGTGCTTTTAACACTAAAAGGTCAGGAATACATGTTTGTGTTCCTGACCCTATAGTGTTCCTTTAAACACAAGTTGAGACACATATCTCAACTTAGGGAGCACTGTGTTAAACATGGTGGGGTTGCTTTGTAACAAGTGCCCCGGCAAGTCCAATGCAAACTGTAAATGTTTGTGCGTGTCAGGGTAACACAGTGCCAGGTTAGTATTCGCCTCAGTGCATCAAGCTTCATCCAGTTTTAGCTCATGAGTTAAAAATTACAGATTTGGGTAGGAGTTAGAACTCCTCCATAAATTCTGCAATTTACTCAAACACTCACATTGCAATTGATGATTTCCAAGTCTTTTTACCCTAACTGGAGTCAAATATTTCAGGGCTTAGTAAGTCATTTGCACTACATTATGTCCTTTCAGAGATGGTACCCATCAGTTGGATGTGGACCTGCGTCTTGTGCTTACCAAAGTGGTGCATTTTTAGTCTACATGTACATAATTTAGTTATACAATCCTATGTATTCAGAGAGAGCTCAATTTACAAGAAAAGTATTAATAAATGTAACATATTATAGATAATTTTTCATTTTCTTTTGATTCATCTATTTTCCTAGCTGTTTAAATATATAAATATTGTATTTATCTGCTTTAGAAATATATGCCACTGTTGAAATTATATTATTCTTCCCATTACAGCTTTAGAAAAAAATTTGCTGAAGTCCTTAAAGAAGCTGAATGACTATCTGAACTCACCTCTGCCGGATGAGATTGATGCTTACAGTACGGAAGATGTCACAATTTCAAAGAGGATGTATTTAGATGGTGATGACCTCACATTAGCGGACTGTAACCTCTTACCAAAGCTTCATATCATTAAGGTTAGTGTTTGTTCTGAGATAAATATAAACATTATAAATGTATAATATTATATAATTATTATATACATATAAATAAGTATAAAAGGGTATAAAATAATAAATACATTATATAAATATTATATAATATAAAAATTATATTTTTGAAACAAGTAGAAAATATTACTGTTACATCATCTTCATGACAAATGTTTCCCATGTTCATTAAAATGTTTGCATGTCAAATAACGACTTAATACAAACTGACTCTAAAATTACCAGTTATTCACTAAAGTGAGAATTCCAAGTGAATATCATATTTAAGACCAGCATAGCATAGTCAAACTAAAATAAGAGTTAGCGTAGTACATTTTTACATTTTGGTGTTTTTGAGGTTAAATTTGAAATTCACTTTGAATTCTTACTTTGGTAAATAACCCTGTAAATGATAAAATTATAAGGCGATGTCACAAGCAGAGTTATTGTCAAAAGTGGGAATGTCAAGGAATATCTGTCACTAGAGTCGTACCCCAACACGCAGGAAAGAGGAAACCCTCAAATAGAGGACCAGAAAGACGTATTACCGAGCCTTAGAATGGCCGGACTTAACATATTAATTCAACAAGAAACAGAGTCAAGACAGAGCCAGGGTCAGGATACCAGAAATTATGAGCCAAATAAGAACCCAGGGTCAGGATACCAGAAAGTAAGAGTTAATTACAAAGCCGGGGTCAGGATACCAGAAATTACGAGTCAAATAAGAAGCCAGGGTCAGGATACCAGAAAGTAAGAGTTAATTAGGAAGCCGGGGTCAGGATACCAGAAAGTAAGAGTTAATTACGAAGCCGGGGGGCAGGAGACCAGAAAGTAAGAGTTAATTACGAAGCCGGGGTCAGGATACTAGAAATTACAAGTCAATTACAAAGCCGGGGTCAGGATACCAGAAATCACAAGTCAATTACGAAGCTGGGGTCAGGATACCAGAAATCACAAGTCAAATACGAAGCCGAGGTCAGGATACCAGAAATCACGAGTCAAATACGAAGCCGAGGTCAGGGTACCAGAAATCACGAGTCAAATACGAAGCCGGGGTCAGGATACCAGAAATCACAAGTCAAATACGAAGCCGCGGTCAGGATACCAGAAATCACGAGTCAAATACGAAGCCGAGGTCAGGATACCAGAAATCACGAGTCAAATACGAAGCCGAGATCAGGATACCAGAAATCACGAGTCAAATACGAAGCCGAGGTCAGGATACCAGAAATAACAAGTCAAATACGAAGCCGAGGTCAGGATACCAGAAATCACAAGTCAAATACGAAGCCGAGGTCAAACACAGGAAATCACAAGGGAATCACTAGGAGCACGAAACGAGGATCTAAACAGAAATCATGATAGGGCAATGAATGGAGGCTAATACAAGCCTTAAATAGGCTCAAAAGAGTTCCCATTGGTCCACGTCATCTCTGCGAGCCCAAGCAGCATTGGGTCGCCTTGATGATGTGGTCCCTTTAAGGTAATGACGTCATGGGTTTATATTTTATTTTTAGGGATTGTAGAGGGAACCGTTCGCGGGACCAAACGTAAGAATTCTATTCAGGCCGCGCGGCCCGAATGTTCCACGTGGCCATGCAGCCACGCAGTGCACTCTACCCGCTTTGCCCAAAGATCGGCGCCGGCTAAAGGTAAGTTTGTGACAATATAAAAATTAATTTCAAAAGTTCTATTTAAAGATTATTAAAGCAGTGACAGCGCCGCTTTAAGATTTGGTGGACCAGAAGGGAATAATCATATGTATCAAACAATGAGTGGTAAACTCAGTCTACAGTGGGGGCTGAGAGAATTCAAAGATTGTACAATGGCCAGGCCGTGTGGACATACAATGCTTACAGAGATACTATGGACATGTGGAAAGCAAAGAGACTGCATGGTGCTGTGTTCAGCACAGAAGCAATATGGAGGAGTATATATAGAAACAGTAGGGACATATGATGTACAGACACTATCGAACTTTAATGGGCATGGAATCTATATGGAGATAGAGTGGCCATGATAATGTGTGCATTACTGTACAGAAATGTACTGTATAGAAATGTGTTGGCTACACAGATTGTTTGGAGAAGCAGTGGGAATAGAAACTGTATAGAAAGCTGTGGCGAGTTTAGAACGTGTGGATTTAAGGTGGCCATTGGAATATAGCAGATATGGTATAAATACAATATGGAGATATGGAAGTACAGAGATACCAAAGTATTGAATAAAAAGGGGGGTTGGATATCCTAATGTCCAACCCCATCCCACCCAGGGGCTTAGGGTGGGAGTTTTTAAAATAAAGGGGGTGGATATGTTACCGTCTTCAAGAAGTAACTAAAGGATCTAGTATGGAGAACGTGGTTAGGAAAGCAAAACAATATGGAAGAGATGGATCTTTCACAGATGTAATGGCAGAAACAGTATGGAACCCGATGGAACTGGCAGTATGGAGATGTAGCAAGTACGGAGATAATTTGAGTATGTGATGGTCCAGAGGATGCAGACTGTGTGAAGTTGTTAAACCAGACATTTGATCAGGTCTTTGGCAATGTACTGATTTCATGAGAATTAAAACAACTGAAAATTATTAGGAGAAGGATGTTGAAGTATGCGGTCACATTGTTTTTTCAATTTGTTTTCTAGGTTGCAGCCAAAAAGTTCAGAAACTTCGAGATCCCGTCTGAAATGACTGGAATTTGGAGATACTTAAACAATGCTTATGCCAGGGATGAATTCACCAACACATGCCCAGCAGATACTGAAATCGAATTTGCCTATTTTGGTGTTGCCAAAAAAACAAATCTACAAGACAAATAAATATTGGTTTTCAGAGCAAAATGGATAGGGGGGTTGGTTTCATCTATATGGGCCTTTAAACTGAGAACACATCAACCAGATAATCAACGACTCTCCTGTCTTGTTAATCTGTCTTTGTAGCACGTATAGCCGCCACTGAAAATCCACTATAACTCCCATCACCCCTAGCTATGCATAGCTACATTATTATGGGTGTTGAAGTCTGTGGTTTCATATCAGTGAACAATGGGACTCGACTGTGAAGTTATATAGATATCATTAATGTTCCCATTATGTTTCCAAGTTATATAATTTATAGCCTGCATTACCCAAATAGCTTAATTTATCAACTTTTTATCATAATTATTATGTAAACACCAGGTATAAAAACTGTTGAAACCTACACAGGGTTCCTTGCTAAAGTGCAACGTTTTGCATTGTACTCACATAGAATACCATATTACCACTATAGTAACCATGGGTTTGCTTATATTTGTAAAATTGTTCTTAACAAGTCACTGTAGATTGAATAAAAATAGTACAAGTTCAACATTTTGGTCAGAATAGAAGTAGGGAAATGTACCGATCTGGTGATTTTCTTCCAATTTTGTTGTTTTGGTTAAAATTTACTTCTCATTTGTTAATTTTCTAAATAACGATTTAGTGATTAAACCCTAATAAGACATCTGACCTTTAATAGCTATGCTACACCTACTAATGTACAAACAGGGTTATTTACCATAGTGAGAATTGTCAGAAATTCAAAGTGAATTTCAAATTTAAAAGGACATTCTAAGCACACAAAAAACGTCAGCTAAATGAAGCAGTTGAGTGTATAGAACATTCCCCTGTAGTCTCACTGCTCAATTATCTGCCATTTAGGAGTAAAATAACTTTGTTTCTGTTTATGCAGCCCTAGCCACACCTCCCCTGGCTGTGACTCACACAGGCTCAATGAAAAAAAAGGTTTCATTTTTAATCATATTTTACAGCACAGTGTGTTTACTTTTATTTCCTGTTCTTTCTACTGAAATCTAATCACACTTGAGGCGCCTGCATGTTATTAAAGCAATACTGCAGGCACCAAAACAATGTTAGCTTAATGAAGCAGTTTTGCTGTATAGATCATGCTATTACAGTCTCAATGTTCAATTCTCTGTTAAATTTAGTTGAATCACTTTGTTTATGCAGCCCTAGTCACACCTCCCTTGCATGTGACTCACAAAGCCTCCCTTAAAACGTCATGGAAAGAGAGGTATAATGTTGAAGCTTGCTTTATTTTACAGTGTGTTCATTTTATAATTTCTTGCCTCCTGCTCTGTTAATAGCTTACAGGAGCCTCTTTTGTGTGATTAAAGTTCAATTAACAAAGCAGGAGATAAAAACCACTAAAGTAAGTTAAAGGACCACTGTAGTGCCATGAAAACATACTCGTTTTCCTGGCACTATAGTGCACTGAGGGTGCCCCCACCCTCAGGGACCCCCTCCCGCCAGGCTCTGGGGAGAGGAAGGGGGTTAAACTTACCTCTTTCTCCAGCGCCGGCGCTCTCCTCCCTCTTCTCCTCCTCTTCGGCTGAATGCGCATGCGCGGCAGGAGCCGCGCGCGCATTCAGCCATTCCATAGGAAAGCATTCACAATGCTTTCCTGTGGATGCTTGCATCTTCTCACTGTGATTTTCACGGTGAGAAGCACGCAAGCGCCTCTAGCGGCTGTCAAGAGACAGCCACTAGAGGCTGGATTAACCCTATTATAAACATATCAGTTTCTCTGAAACTGCTATGTTTATAAAAAAAAAAAAGGGTTAACCCTAGCTGGACCTGGCACCCAGACCACTTCATTAAGCTGAAGTGGTCTGGGTGCCTATAGTGGTACTTTAACATCTGATTAAAAATGAAACTATTTTGTAACGCAGGCTGTGTGAGTCTCAGCCAGGGGAGGTATAGCTAGAGCTGCACAGATAGAAACAAAAGTGATTTAACTCCTAAAGGGCAGAGAATTGAGCAGTGAGACTGCATGGGGTTGACATATACACTAAAACAGCTTCATTAAACTAACGTAATATTAAAGTTAACACACTGTGCAATAAATTAAGTTTGAAAATTGTACCTCTCTTTACAGGAAGTGTGTAGGGAGGCTCTCTGAATCTCAGCTAGGGGACATGTGACATGGGCTGCATAAACACAGTGATTTAACTCCAGAAAATTGGGCAGTGAGACTTCAGGGACGTGATTTATACATTAAAACCAAGTTGTTTTGGGGCTGAGAGTGTCCCTTTAAGGCCAAAATAGCTGAGTTGGAAAAAATCTCGAAGCCAGCAAAGCATCCAATTCGGTTATTTTGATCTAAAATGTAAAGGTCACTTTGAATTCACTCTGAACTCTAGACTATTCTCACTTCAGTGGAAATCCCTGATTGTGTCACTTTGTGCCTTATGCCTCCATTTAATAAGCTTTTCCAAAGGATTCAATACTGTTAGAAAAAATCCAAATGATTTTCCACAAAAATTCCTATAAATATTAATGGTGATTAATGTAGCTTAACTTAGTTGGACACTTTTCTAGGAGTATTACATCGTTTGGAAACTTATTAAAATGAGGCCTTAGTCAGAGACACCAATTAAGGCTTTTCATATTTTCATAATGCATGATGGTAGATGTAGATAGAAAATGAAACATGGACCAATCAGCAGAAACATACCATAGGTTACTATGATGATCACTCAACTTTAAAAACATTCCAGAACTGGCTTTATACTGTACATAATCCGCATTATTCTAAAAGTAACTCAGTCGCCATGGAAACCAATGTAATGTTTCTACTGATAGCTTCGCTTTTAGAACCTTTCCCAGAATTCCTTCTGATAAGTAATCCTTTGAACAGAAATCTAAAAATGTATTATAGCAAACTGAATATAGGTTTAACAGTGTGAACTGGGTTTTTTTTCTCCCACACAACGAGGCAAATCATATTTAACATGGACCTGTCCAGGTTTTTACCTGGATGACCTTGAAGTGGCCATAGTCTGTATTCAGATTATTTTTCTATGCATGTTAAAAGTTGTGCTTGGTCATAAATTCTGTTTTTTTACATAGGAAAGAAAATAAACATTTAAATAATTGCCATACCTATTCAGTCCACTTGTCTCACAAGTGGTGTGTCAGTTAACAGCATATAATGGCTACAAGAGATTGTGAGATGACTGGCATGCATTCACTGCGCCAGATTTTAATAATAACACATATGAAGGAGAAAGGAGACATTTAAGCGAAAAAAACACGTTACAGTTCTTTTTACATTGACCACTACTACTCAAAGCTTAGATAGTCACATTACTCACATGTTGCACATTTAACCTCTTTCTTCTGATATTTTGTATTTGTGTACTCTGTGAGACATTGCCATGACTGGGAACACCAGACTTGCCGTTAAGACAGCCGCTTGCTGGTCCTCTGAGGCGTTGTGGGAGTGGTTGAGTTTAGCTCCTCCCACCCTCCTTCATCTAAACTGAACCTGTGACTGTCCTCTTTCTACAGCAGACGGGATCTGTGTAGACACCTCTTTTTCACATTGTTGTAGTTGGCTGAGAGCATTGCGAGTCATTTCTTTCCATTCACCAATGTTACTTCTTTTTGCATTCAAACGTTCAGCTCTATCCGTATATATTATTGTTTATAAATGCCTTAAAGATATATTATTAAATAACTGAATTTTAAGAGAACTGTCCATATTTTCAATTGTTTTGTTTTTTTATTGTATTGTGATTTTTCTGTGTGTACTTTTGTTCCTGAGCGTTTCTACATTGTGCTGTTGACGTATAGTCCCTGAGCTTTATGTACTTTACGGTGAATTTTCGAGAACCGAGAAGCAATATGTAAACTTAGGCTGAAGAAGCTTGCATTTTCACATTTTCCCATTCTTGGATATTTTCACCTACTTTTTCAAATATATTTTAAAAAATATATATTACCACGCATTTATTTTAGAAATGGCATATCAATAAAATTTAAACTTGATTTTTTTTTGTGCTTAGTATAGAGCTTATAAACGAACACTCGAACACCATAACCACTTCATCTCAACAAAATAGCTATGTTACCTGGAGTTCCCTGGCTATGTTTTGTCTTTCAGTATTAAACTGTTTTTAAATAAATCAGCACAGAAGTATTATGTCCAGGTGCCTCTTTGGTTAACGGCTAATGCGGTAACAGTGGCTGAACAAGTGAAGAGATGGCAGTGATAGGCTGAGAGCCTCGTCAAACATATGCACATTGTTTAACCTGTAGCCAGTAATAGGCTGTATTACCATAAATGAAGCTGTCAGCATATTCACTAAACTGAGAATTGCTGAATGCTTAGTTTTACACCCAAATAGCCAAAGATGAAAGCATAGCTAACTTGGAGAATTGTTCTAATTTGGCCTTAAATTTGAGTTCCATACAATTCTCACGTTAGTAAATAGCCCTGCTTTTGTTTAACTATAATAGGTAATAAAATGTTAACATGTTACAACTTTCTGATCATATTCATTGTCAAACAAGTTGAATATTAAGAAGCACAAATTACACTACTATCCCCATTATCCATTGAGTCGAGGATCATGGTGCTGTTCGTCAGTAGCTGGAAAGTATTCATTGTAGTTCTCCCATGTAAGCCAGTTAGCACTATGTGTATTTAGATGGGTTTTAATTTCATAGACATAGCTTTGAGTTATTAGACAAAGTAAATTTACCTTGAGTGAGAAAATCCCTCTAAATCACATGTGATTGTAAAGCTGAATTAATGAAATGTCTAATTGAAAACTACAGCTTAACAACACAGCGCATGCAATCACATAGGATTAAGATGACTACTTTCGCTTGGTTTAAAACAGCATATTTGTATAAATCAAGCCATGGTCAGTGCAGTGCGTACACTAAAAGTCTTCATCACGCCTGCAAGAATATTTGGATCTAAATTAACAGTTGTGCTTTAGTGTTGTGATGTTCAATGGAACTTGTCACTACCCATGTGTAAAATCTTTAGATCATAGACAAGTCTTGATCTTGAAGCTTTGATATAAAATACATGCATTGAATTTAATTAAAACCAGGCTATAAATTTAGCAGCTCTACAAACTTTGTATTATCATTCTGTGTAGTGTCATCACTTAGTCAAAGTATATGTAGTACAGAAGGTTCAATAATTTGAACTCTGTCTGGTCATGTCCCTTAACGGTCATCAATTAAAGGATCACTCCAGGCACTATAACCACTTCTTCACACTGTAATTGTTATGGTAAGTGGAGTGCATTGTACCCCTCCTAGGGTAAGTTGTCAAACTGTTTGCATAAGATTTCACAACTTACCTGGGATCCACCCACACCGGATGCAGCCTCCTGTGGAGCTAAAGCACTCCTGGCACCATAACTACTGCTGCGCGCTGTATTAGTTATGGTTCTTGGTGTGTTTCTTTAAAGGTAACAGATCAAAGAACAGCATTGTTTTGTAACTTCATTTATATATTTTTAATTTCATAAAAATTCAAACTTCTAATCTTCAGTAAAATAATATTTAGGTTTTTTTTCGGAGGTCGATGGAATAAATTTAGTGGATGTCCGAATTGTGATTCTTTTGGATCAATGATAGAGACACAGCACATCAACATAAAAAGCTCAGCCCAACTGTAAATTATGGTGGAGGGACATAATTGTTTGCTGCCGAAGGGCCTAAACAGCGAGCTACTCCAACAAAAAATTTAATATACCAAAAATGATCTGCATTGAGCCCAGTCAAAAGTCAACCCCATTGAGATGCTTTGACCTGAACCTCAACAGATCCATGCACAACGTGCTTCCTGTCAAGAATAGTGCTGAACATAAACAGTTTTATGACCTGGTCTTCAACTACAGAAGAAATTTACTTGAGGTTACTGCTGCAAAATTCAGTAAAAGGCTTCACAAACATCTTCCACCTTGTGGTGTGAATTTTTACATGGGGTGTTCAATAAAGACATGAACAAGTATAATTGTGGATTGTTTGTTTAAGCAGACGTTTTGTCTATTGGTGAGACTTAGATCATACAATCTATCTGATCTTCTACTATTTACACAGAAATCCAGGCAATTCTAACTTGCTCTGAGATTTTGTCACATGTAGAAAGCAGATGGAAAATATGAAATGAGAAAAATAAAATAGAATCCCGGTGGTACAATCTCTCAGGAGATATAATACAATATAAAGTGCACTCACATGACACTGAGCAGTTCTGGTTCAGAAAAAATAATGTTTGTATTACTATCCCCATTTATGAAATGTAGTAGAAAAAGCCATTTATTTTACAAGTCATCTGTTAATCATTGTGTTTAATGTAACTACATTGTTTCGGTTTACTCTTTTCTTTATGAAAAATAAAAGGGTAACTGTCACTTCTGTAGAAATTACATCATTGAGTAAAACATTAGAAATCACAGATTACTTTTGTTGACCAATTTTTCATATGACGTTCCATTTTTAAAATGGTTTCGTAATTGCTTAGCAACTGACATCACAATTCAGTTCTGTCCTGGCACAGCCAAGGCACACGTTAGTCCAGGAGAAACAGAATCATTGCTTTTATTTCTCCTTCTCCCGCTATTCTCTCTCTGTGCTGAGTGTATAGTGCAAAGGGCAGAGCTTATACCAATGGTTACCGGGGAGCCAAGCTGGAGGTACTCTGAGAGTTCCAGGATAGAACAGTGTGGATTTCGACATTTAATTATATTTTTCAGACCTTGTGTGCACATATTTGTTAAATATAGGGGATAAGAAAACATAATATTTTACATTATATTTTTCTTTAAGAAGCACATGGTTTGAAATTGAGACCATGCCACATGTTTGCAGCCTTGTGACCTGAATTACAGAGTGATCTGTGACTGCGATATGGAAATATTGGCTGGTGTAAGGCTATTGTACTAACTCCAGCTCAAATCTATTTTACTAACAAATGGACTGAGTATTGAGCAGTGAGACTTCAGGGCATGAGCTATACACCATAACTGCCAGAATATCCCTTTAAACAACTTTGTTTTATCAGATTATTGAAACCACATATACAGTATAAAACATAACAGAAGAAGACTGAAGAGTGTAAGTAGCTGTTAAAAAGCATTCATTTATTAATTTGTTTGCATCCTTTTAAGGTTAACCCCTTAAGGACCAAACGTCTGGAATAAAAGGGAATCATGACATGTCACACATCATGTGTCCTTAAGGGGTTAAAGAAGTGAACAAAATTGTCTGTCTGTATTTTGATGGCTGTGGGGGAAAAGCAACCCCACTACATTCTGTAACGTTAGGAAATTGATTCTGTATCCTAGAAGATAATGGCAAACTCCAGAAATTGAACAGCAATTTTCTTAGACACTGCATTGCGAAAGAACATTTACAGGCATATTTACTAAAGTGAGCATTGTCATCAATTCATAGTGAATTTCAGGTTTTAGACCAAAATAGCTGAACTGGAAGCATAGCTGAATTAGATAATTGTTCCAATTCAGCTAATTTGGTCTTAAATTTTTAATTCACTTTGAATTCACAATTATCACTTTAGTAAATAACTCTGTTCGTTAAAATAAAGCATGCTTATCAATATGTCAAATAATCAATATACTAACTTCTGAAGGTGTGGATAGGGGTGAAACTTTTCTGGAACATTTTAGGAGGCTTCATAATCCACAAACATTATTTTATGTAAAGAAAAATGTAATTTAGAATCAGACCAAAGTGTTTTATTGATGCTGGGCTCATATGCTATTGTTTAACAATACAGACTGTTATATACTTGTACACACCAAAACACCTTGAAAAAGAAGAACAAGGGACAAAAGAAGAAAAAAGAGGGACAAGGAAATGTCGGCACTAAATAAGGACTGTACCTCCTAAAGCGGGACACTTTTAACTTATGATACAGTATATAATTATATCTCTCACAATAGAATCCAGGGCTTATAATAAAAAAGGGGAAAAAAGCTAAAAGCAAATAGCTTTTATTGTCATTCATTAACCCCTTTACTTCCAAAATCAAGTATAAACATTTTTATTTCCATTTAGTGTGCAGTATTAAATTAAGTCCATAAAGACTCACTCACCCTAATTTAAACTCTAGTTATGATTACCAGCCTATAGATGAACACTTTTATATGCCAGAAGCCACCAGTCACTGATATAGTGCCTGCAAGTGTCCTGAAAATGTAAGTTCACCCCAAACATTAAAGGAAGCTTCAATGGGTCATATCATTCCTACAGTCACGGAAGAGTCAGAGTGAATAGACTCTGTCATTTCACTATTAGCATACGTTAGTGTCACAGAGATTGCTCTCTACCTTTATTTAAGAAATATATAATTTAACTGTATTTACTCATTATGCAGGAATTATTTGTAAATGCAAACATTTTTTTTTGTCATTTTCAGTAAGTTGTACTGCTAGTAATGCTTTTGGTGTCCTTGCTAATACCTATAAGCAAGGTATTTGACCATTTATATTTATCTATTTTTGCCACACCTACTGTATATGAGAAAAATGGCATTTTTGCTTTTATACTAACATTTCAGAACCTGTGTGAAACCTGTATACCGTCTAAAGCTTTTTATTTCCCAAATATTTCTATAAAAGATGAACAAATAAGTGAAAAATAAAAATTGTGCAAATTGACATAATTAATATATTCAACTTTGTCTTTGAAGCAATCCGTAATCAAAATTGCCGTGTTTTGATATGTTTATATACTTGCTATACTAGCTACTGTCATGCACATTTTTTTTCCTACTAAAAAGTGCTTGGTAGTGAAGGGGCTAAACAGCAGATTGTTTTGAATACATTGTAAATAACATTACTTTTGAAGAAGAGCTGGTTTTACATTGTCAGTTTCTTTTAGGGAAAAAAAACATATTTATAAATTTCTTACACATCTTAAAGGCAAACTCCTGGCACCATAACAACTTAATCAGAATTAAGTTGTTATGGTGTGAGGAGGTACATGGACACTGGCTTACCTCAAGGGGTTAAACCATTAACGAATGGTTTAACCCTAAAGGGTTGAATCTGGTGCCCGATTGTTCTCCCCACTAACATCTGTTCCAGTCTTAGATTGAATCAGGAAGCCTGGACAGGGGTACAGCCAGTAGCTCACCTTTCACAAAACTATTTGAGAAACATACATATATCTCTCAAACTGTTTTGTGAGCGGGGAGCTACTCTCCAAAGCTTCCTGATTCAAGCCTGGCACTGCTGCATGTGTTAGATGGCAGAACAATTGGGCATCAGATTCAACACTTCGAGGTAAACCATTCATTAATGGTTTAACCCCTTGAGGTAAGCCGGCGGCCAGGGACCTACTTGCACCATAACAACTTCATTCTGAAGGTGTTGCTATGGTGCGTACATTGTTTCTTTAAATAGAGAAGAGCGATCTAACCGTGAGTCACCTATAAGTTTAATAATTTAAGAAGTCTTCGAATGAAGAGTTCTTCGTCTTGTTCTACACGCTGAATCACCTTTAATGGGTCGTTTGAAGTAAGATTCATTTACTTGTTTGAATGCAGTATTTCCAAAAGCAGGCTGGAACAAAACGCAACACATTTCAGATCATTTGCAAGAACCAGTGAAATTATATACAAGATGCATTTATTAATTTTTATTAGAGAGGTGGACTTCTGTTGGCAAAACTGTTGGAAAAATCTTCAACTGTTACAAAAATTTTCATAGACTATAATAGTGACGTTTGTACATAAATCATTTGAAAAGTTTTAATTATTGTTAAATTAATGGACTTGAAGTTTATTGTTCCCTCCATATTCCAAAATGGAATGAGTCATTTAATTCATTTCTGACGGACGTTGTAGAGCAGTTAGTGATAAATATAAAGGAACTCTGTCCATAAAGAATTTAGGAACCAGATAACGATGACACAAAGTGAAATATTTGGTCCTTAAGTCTGTCATATATAATATAATATTTAAATAAAAATACTTCAAGGGTGTATTTTTTAATTTATCTAGATTAATATACTTTGCTATAATGTCTCATTTTTCTTCTGAAACAGTACCTAACGCAAATGACATTTCCCATGATTCCTATCATATGTCCGATAAAACTTCTAACAATCTGGAGAGATACTTTGTCCCAGATTTGAGGTAAGGAGAATCAGATTGAATAATAGGAAAGGAAGGAAATGATTTGCCAAAATAACAAGAAAATCTTATCATTAATCATTATTATTGCCAATTAAATAGCACCAACAGATTCCATAGCGCTTTACAATATTATGAGAGGGGGAATTTAACTATAAATAGGACAATTACAAGAAAACTTACAGGAACAATAGGTTGGAGGACCCTGCTCAAACGAGCTTAAAGTCTATAGGATTAATAAATGTTATCAGACCCAAAACATTTTTTGTATTTAGCATTCTGCCTTTACCTCTCTGCCATCACATACTGTTTGTACTACAAATATGGCTCTTAAAATGTATAAAAGAGCAATCCTAAAAAGAAGATTGTATCGTTAAGGTTTTTTTCTTGTCTCTATGTTTGAGGGGTCGATAAGTCTTACCTCGTTTCTTTTTCTTTCGTGGTGTGTTCTGCACAGCCTTCCTGAAGTGTTTTCCCCCAATAGGGCTATATTCTGTTAGTTCATCAATGTGATCAGTTGACTCTTCTTGGTGGACAGAAGGATTGGAGATTTCCTCACGCATATCCTCCTGTTCAAAATAAATAATGAGAAGGAATGATAAGAGAGCTTCACACACACCTCATTCCATTGATGTAACAATGTAGGATGAAGTCAACCGTAAAAATCTGAGAATCATTTATGTTCAAATTCTGATGTTAAAGGATGGATCCATCTCCTGTGAAACTGATCGTACTATTGCTTGTGATTTCCAAGGGCAATATATGTATATAAGTAAAACAAGTGGTACATTTATAACTAAAGTATAATCATTTATAGCGGAATTCCTTTAGAACCTCAAATCTAAACAAGGTCATTATATAAGTATACTTTTTTCCAGTGGTGGAAAGAATATGGTAGTGTGCATAATGTTTCAGAGACAAGTTCCACTTGACGGTACATTTATGTGTGGAGAAATGAGAGGATGACATGTATTTCTGTATTTATCTATAAAGTTGAGGTTTTCCATAAGGTGCAGGCTTCTGTTTATTGATCCAATAACGGTAAAAGAGCTATTAATGTGTTGACAAAAAAATATATTTTTCTAATTGCATTATTGCCTAAACCTTGTAACTAGGATGATAATGTACCAGAACTGGTTGTTTTGTGAATAAAACCCTATTTGACATCTGAAAATATATTGACATGCTTAAAGCACTTTGAAATACATATGTTCATGTCTGAACAGGACCCGAACTGATTATGCAGTTGACAAACAATTAGGAAAGAATGTACTTGATGATTCAACATTTTTACGCAATTTAAAAATGTGCTTTTTAAAATTTTCCTTACCATTCTGTTCTTTTTTCCAACTAATCTTGTGTTCCCTAAAACGCACAAAAAAGAAAGAATATTTGTTAATTAACCAATAAAAAATTGGTTTATTTTGTGGCTTAGGACATCTTAAAAAAACAAACTGCTTTCTTGACTTTTTGCCATTTACAGATGTTAACATTTACTGGTCCAATTCTGTTCTCTGTTTTGTGATGTTCTTAATGTACATAGTCTAACATTCTTCCTATTTAAAGACTCAGTATCCTGGCAGTAAGGCCATCTAAACAGTTTGTAAGGTGGTTTACAACAGCTACAGCTGGGATCCCGGGCGCATGGAACCTAGTCCGGGATAAAACGTAGCCACTTATACTGATGGTGATGTTCTCTGTGGGTTATGATATGTCTTGACATGTACTCTTGTCCAGTACAAACTATCACACAAATGATACGTTACTACAGTTATTCTGTGTATGAGAGATACAGTTATTATATGGAATCACAACCATTCAAAATATCACTGTGAAAATTCAAAACATTCCATTGGGTCATTTGTATGTCTTTTTTTTTTTACTTATTGAAATTAGTGTCTGTACAGAACATTACGATTCTGCAAATTTTCCCAGCAGGCTGTAGTGGTTATAATGTCCGAGTAACCTTTTAACCCGAAATATTCCGTCATGATTTACTTTTATTTCACAAGTTGTGTCCTTAAGGGGTTTAGGATACTAGTTTATAAGTTATATACTCAAGATGCTGTAAGCTAAGTCTCATCATTCTCAGCCACAACTGTTAGTGTGACTGATGTCATTAGTCAGCAGTTTTCAAGATAATACAACAATAGGAATAAAAAAAAAAAATCAACATGCGCACCATTTTCATGCTTCTCCTTAAAGAACCCTGTTACCCACAGACAATAGACATTTATACTAAAATATTGTACATTTACCCCGGACTCCAGTAATTCTGGCGGCAAATCTTGCATTGGCGCTTTTTTCTGCTTTATCCAACAAAGCTAGAAATGTCACGATCTGCTCCTGTTGATCTGGTTCAATGATTTCTGCCAGTGATTGCTCTTCCTCTTCTAAATTTAGATATGCGTTTATAATAAATAATGTCAATGAAGCAATGACAAGGAATTATATAAATACACTGGCAATGGACACATTTTCTTCATGTTGTATCTTGTTCAATATATTTTCTGATAGTTTTTTATAGTTACACTAATGAACCACTTAATTTATTCCAGGCCATCTATTTTTAGTAATTAGTACAAAACTATAATTAATGTAAAGTGGTTCGTTCACCAAATATGTAGGTATGTATCTAATCTACATTTATATAGCTCCCTGTGTATGAATCTATTTTTTTCTCCAGAGTGCTCTAGTTATCATTAATTACATAGATAGAAGTAGGGACTACCTTAAAGCAAGGCTTGGTTTTATTTGCTAATCAAATTTACCCAAAATCCATCAGTGACATCCATCTTACAGAAAGGGCAAACAGCAGACACCATGAGTCAGAGGAGAACAAAATGGCTGCCCCCATATATTGATATTTATCACAAAGAAGAAAATATAAATATAAATAAAGGCAGGTGGCAGGGTCAAGAGTGTAATCATTTAGATACAAGGGGCATAAGAAAAGGAAAATCTAAAGAAAAAGCCAGTTATAAATTATATTGTATCATCAATTTAACTGAATTCAATTGTTCAATTTAACTGTTCTTACGTCAGCACAATTTGTTAAAGGACCACTATAGTCACCCACACCACTTCAGTTCAATGAAGTAGTCTGGGTGCCAGGTCCCCCAGGTTTTTACCCTTCACATGTAAACATAGCAGTTTCAGAGAAACTGCTTTGTTTACACTGCAGGGTTAATCCATCCTCTAGTGGCTGTCTTCCTGACAGCTGCTAGAGGCACTTCGGCGACGCTGAATGTGAAAATCGCATTCAGCGTGCAGGACGTCCATAGGAAAGCATTGAGAAATGCTTTCATATGGGCGTTCTTAATGCGCGCGCGGCTCTGGCACATGCACATTCTGCTCCACTACGGAGCTGACGTTGGAGTGGGAGGAGAGGTCACCAGCGCCGAGAGAGCCCGGCGCTTGATAAAGGAAAGTGGCTGAAAGGGGTTTTAGTCCCAGCCCAGCGAGTGGGGGGGACCTAAGTGTTATATAGTGTCAGGAAAACTAATTTGTTTTCCTGACACTATAGTGATGTTTTAAAGCAAGTAAATGTTACATTTGAAATTCACTTTGAATTCAGTTTGAATTCTCACTGAAGTGAATAACCCTGTATGTTACAATTATAACAGCTCTCAAGTTTATCTGGCAAATGATAATTTTGCAATGGAGCTCATAACTAATGTGATGCACATCATTTTGGTCCCAGTAAGGAAAAAAGGTTAAAAACCGCTGTTTTAATATATCCTCATATGACACCTAGTTCACTAATAACCTTTTTACATTCACATTTTTAGAATCTCTCCCTGGCTTATTGCAGTCATTACAAACAAGTGCAAAAAGTCTGAGATTTCAAACTGTACATTCAAATGAGTGTTTGCCTCCTATTACAATGATTTTTTTTGTCTGAACTACGTGGATTATAAACATTAACTGTTGTAAACCTAATACAATTTAACGTACACTTAGTTAATTCCATATCCCAACAAAGCAATCAGTTTGATGATTCCCCATAAATACTGGGATTTTGCTTTCACGAAAAACAAAATGCAAAATTCACGACAAAAAAAACTAATTTGGAAAAAAGCTATAGCTTAGCTATTGTCCCAGCTTGAATATCTGAACCTGCATTTTAAAATTCAGTTTTCAATTACTCATATTTCGGTGTGGATATACCAAAATAAGTAAGCAGCAGATGAAAGGTGTCACAATTATTATAGATTCAGAACAGCAATATGTATTTATTAATGAGAAAGAAAGATAATATATATTACAAATCTAAAATACTAACGCTGTGGTCCTGACTGTCAGGATGTTCTCACATTTTAACAGATTTACCTGAGAAAAGGATTTTCACCCGTGCTCATGCAAGAAGATTGGTAAATTTGCCAAACGTCCACTCTGAGGTCAGGATTTGGTTGAATAGTTCTAAGCTATAGCCCAGGCATAGTCAACCTTCGGCAGTGAGGATGTTTTGGACTACACCTCCCCTGATGCTTTGCACGCATTATGGATGTAAGAGCATTATGGGGGATGTAGTCCACAACATCTGGAGTGCCAAAGGTTGCCTATCCCTGCTATAGCCCATATAATCCACAATGGACATTATGTATCAAAACAAGGCTATTCCACACAAGAAAGGGACAGGCATCAAATGCCTGTGTGGTTCTTTGTCTGAGTAAAAATTACGTCTATAGCATACTTTAAAAATTCTACATATAAAACACTATGGTGGTGTGTACTAACCAACTACAGTTGAAAAAATAATTGTAAAAATAAATGGTGTGTGAAACAAAATTGCAGCATTTCATTTTCTTTATTTGCTCCTTAACGGTCTAAAAGCAAATGTGATACAGCGCTACTGGGATAAATACTGAATCTAAGTACAATAAATATCACAGGCACAAAAAGTAAGAATTTTACTTATCGGAAACAAAACATAGGCACAATGAAGGCATGTAGTAAAATAGTGCCAGCAATACTAAATGCTAGTAGATAGTTACTAATTGTGTTTGCACTAGTGAATATTCAGTAAAAATCCTAAATATGAAAATATATTCTTTCATAAATGAGAACTATTTTAGTACATTGGCTGATCCCACGTTAAAACAGGTTATATCTTTTAATATATGGCTTTGTTAAGGTGACATTTACTGTGATAATTGTATTCACTATGACATTAATGCGATTTTATTCGCCATATTGATTTTTGCTGGTCAAAGCACAGATATGGAAAATTAGACAGAATGGGTATAATATACAGGAATAACTAGATTTTGGACTGATTGGCAAATCCCATGGATTCTACATTTTAACCGTCAGTACCTAATTTCAGATGGTCTTACTATGAGTTGCGTTGTACTATATAGACTAATATATCACAAAATTTAGGGCAAATTATTAAAGGTGAAAAAATTCTTCCATTACAGCTAAGTATTGATGTTGTAAACTTACTTCAAATGACCAGCTGGTGAATCCATCTCTGGCTCCTAAAAACCCCAAAATAGATAAAAGCACAACCCCCCAAAATCCAAACAATAAAATACATTTGAGCTTTAACTGCATTTTATTGAGAGTACATTTTCACGTACCTTCACCCATCTGGAAAGTATCTGCGATCAAAGGAGAGGACTTTGCTAGACACGCTGTGGAAATAATAGATGCAATAACTAAACTGAAAATTGTCAGAGTGTCCATTCTTTTTTAAGAGATTTAGCTTCTAGGCTAACACTCTAAGCAGCAGCGCCTCTCGATAAGGCTTGTCCAAGAGATCCCTGATTATGTGTTGCTCTTTAACATAGCACCCTTATAAATGTGTGCTGTCCCCGTAGACCCTACCAACAAGACCCCCTATCAAATTCCACTTAACTTAAGTCACATTTTTGACATTTGGCGACGTGTCTCCACTATTTTGTGTGGTTTGCTTTGTGCTTTTGGAGCAATAGAACTTCCAACGTCAGAGTCCTTTTCTCTCTCTGTGCAAACACATTAAATGTCTGTTATCAATGCTTGAACAGCAGATTCCCCCAAATGTGTAGGCAAACTGTTGCATCTATCTGTGTGCTTCAATGTAGCTTTAGATTTCCGTTGTTTACATTGCGTATGTTAATAAAGCACTCTTCAAAAAGGAGATTTCAGACGTGCCAATGACGTCAGCAGTTGGCATAGCAAATGTCCCGAAGGTAGAATCCATTGTACAGCAATATAAGTTGACCTGACGTTCAACCAGAATGGTTTTTTTATTAGGACTGCTTTATGCACACAGCACTACGAGATGGACTCAGAAATTTATAGGGATAATCTAGGCACCATAACCACTCATCTCAGTGAAGTGGTAATGGTGCCTGGAGTCTTCTGGCGCCATTTTGTTGTTCAGTATTAAACTATTTTCTGCTGGTTTAACACTGAAGGACCCCACAGCCAAGCCCCTCTCTGCAGCTAGCGCTAATCCTTCCACATTAGCCTGTCCAGCTATGCCAGCCGTGATAGGGTGAGAGTGTTAGACAATCTCAGCCTATCGCTGCTGCCCATCGCTGGTGTGACATTGTATAGCTAATGCAGAATAGCTTCTGCATTATTCCTACCACCAGCAATGGGTAGCCACATGTGCCCGGGGGCCCTCATTCAGTGTCAAACCAATTAAAAGCAGTTTAACACTGAACAGCAAGATGGTGAAAGGGATCTCCAGCAACCATAACCACTTCAATGAGATAAAGTGGATATGGTACCTAAAGTGTCCCTTCAATCTCTAAACAGCCAGTTGCTTTAAGCTGTTGACATGGACTGACTGGCAACTTTTGGTCCAAGGGGCAAGTACAACCCAGATGCCTCATTTGAATAAAAAAAACTGTGAAGAAAATCAAAGTAATAAATCACATTTTAACACTGAAAAATAATAGTTCCCCCTGTGACTGCCGGACTATTTCTCCAGTGACATGAATGGACAACACAAGTATTCAGTCATCAATTATAGAAAAGATGATCTAAAGGGAGTTTGGTGGAACACATATAGAGAGAGCCACGGTACAATACACATAGAATCTGACGGCAGATGAGAACCATTCGGCCCATCTGGTGTTTCAAGACATGGGTGGCTGAAAGGTAGACCCTCAACCTTCCTACAACTCCCATGATGCTTATCAGGCTGGGGATCTCTTGCAGGGTTGTATTTGTGAGCAGTGATTGTGTGTTTGAAGGTAAGTATGCTTTTGTATAGAGTGTGTATATGTGAATGAAGGGGTGTATTTCTGTGTTAGTGTCTGTGTGCAGTTGTGATTTTGTATGTACTGTTGTCCTTTGCATAAAGTGGTGCATCTGTGTGTCTCATGTTGGTGTTTGAATGCAGAGGTGTAATTGTGTGCATTGTTGGTGTTTGAATGCATGGGTGTATTTGTGTGCAGCATTGGCATCTGAATATAGGGTTATATTTGTGTGCAGGGTCGGCTTTTTTGAATTGAGCAGAGTATTTGTGTACATTGTTAGTGTTTAAATACATTGGTGTCAGGATAGGTAACCCAACACGCAAAATAAGGTCACGTAAGCCCTGGAAAAACAGTAGATAGCAATACGTATTGCCGGACCTTAAGATGGCATGGGTTAACGTGCAAACAACAAGAGATAGATATGTCAAATAAAGGTCAAGGGCAGAGGCATAACTAGAAACCACAGGACCCCGGTGCGAAAACTGCCCTGGAGCCCCCCCCATCCTATTACCCATATGTCTACCCTCCTCCCATACGTTGCCCCCCCACACATGCAGACAAACAGCTACACATGCAGACACAGACACATATACACATAAATACAGACACACATACAGACACATACACAGACATACAGACTGTGATATCATCACAGGGTGCCCAGTGGCGCTGTTAAAACGCCACAGCGCTGACAGGCCCCCTGGAAATTAAGTTCCATCAGGTGGCCCTATGAGCATGATTTTCCCCTTAACGTGTGGCCCCAGCGGTTCAACCACGTGGGCTGGGGCCCGATTTGCCCTTTAACGTGGGGCCGCAACACATGGCAGCGGGCACCGCGGTCGCAGGGGTCCGCAGGGAGGCTGGAAGCCCTGGGGTGGCGGGCCCGGTTGCAGCTGCGCCCCCTGCGATCTCGGCAGTTCTGCCACTGTTCAAGGGCAATGGAGATAAAGTAAATCAATCAACGAGCCAAGGTTAGGGATACAAAGAACAGAATAGCCGAGACAAGACCAGATCAGTAACCAATAATCAGAGTATAGAAAAAACATGCTCTTGGATAAGAAAACCAAACTAGAAACTACGACAGGGTATTGAATAAAGGTAAAGCTCAAGTATTTTTAGGTCTGTGGGTGTTTTCTTGGCTGTCACACCCCCAAAACAAGAGTGGGCATTGACAATAAAGTGATGATGTCATGAAGGGCATGGTGCTACAATGTCTGGCGTCAGAAATTCTGAAAAAGTGTCTGAGGGTTGGAAACTGATATGTTGCCTACTTTGGGAGGTTGGGGCACCAGCTGACTTATAGTACATGGGTATATCCCCTCACAAAGGATTTCTTTGAGTGTAGTGTTGGCATTTGAATGCTTGGATAAACACACTGTCACACACAGATACAGATATGCACACACACTCAGAAACACACATATACTCTCTTCCCTGTGCAGCTCTCTGCAAAACTATGGAGGAACTAATGCTCTGACAGAGGCCCCATCTACTGAGGTATTAATGGCCCTGATCAGAAATGCCCATCAGGTGGTTAATTGTGAGGGCCATCCAATGGACCTCCACCATCATCTTCCAGTCCCCACTATCTCATGCTCAGAGCTGTACCACCCTGTCTAAATCACACACAAGCTGCTTTTATTTTGCGGTACTGTGTGTGGAATTTGGTGGGACGGTGTGACTGTTGTAAGGGCCATCTAGAGAGGTCTGGGTGGCATTTGCCCCTGACCCATTCCATGTGTCGTTGTTGATCGGTACTATTAAAAAAGCATCCATTCATCTCTATCAGGGATATTCACAGAAGTGTGAACTTTATCAGACTTGTGACTACAGCAGAATTGAATAATTTTTACAAATAACATTTTGCCTAAAATGTGCAATTTGGTCGTAAAGTCACTACAGTTCAGTGTTAATGGTCAACTGCCCAGGAAGAAAATATTCAATTAATCTTATAATTCCAGAGTTTCCTTGTGATATAATAATATTATTAAATATATATTTTTTAAAAATGGGAAAAAATAATGGACATATTTAATAAATTACAATTTACAGTTAAAATATCAGCTACTGCTTGTAACTGAAAGTCTAGTGTTAAATGGTACAAATGGAGTGTACATGAGAGATGGCCCCGTTATCATGCTTTACCAGCCAGAGATGTTCTCAGCCCTGCATGTTATGACTCATGTCTTTAGTTCTGAAAGACAAGCTATTACCAGAGCTTCACATTCCATGTTGCTGAAATGGCCTTGGGTGCAGTGATAGGACATACAGTATAAAGTGTATAAACTGAAAAAACCCAAAAAACATTAAATATTTCTGGGATCCACCATTTATACAATAACTCTCCTGGTATCAGGAAAAGTACCTTACCATCTAGCAGCATCAGATGGTGTGAATACATCGGTAACCAATGCAGCAAAAATGTATACAAAACCGAAAATAAATAAATATATATATATATATATATATATATATATATACATATATATGTAAACCTGATACATGATGATTGGCAGTGTTCTAGAATGGATTACAAGACATCATGGAAAAAGACGTCTGAGACTTTGGACAATCGCTGACCCTATATTCTCCTCGAGTGAAAAGAATAGGCATTATGTAGGGTTCATTTTAAGCAGCGAATTGGAGTAACAAAATAGCTGTTTTGGAGACACTTGTCTAGCTCACATATTTTTGCAGTTTGGTTATTTTAGTCTGAATTTTGAAATATGAATTTCTATTCACCGATATTCACATTTACCACAAGTATGTAGGGATTTCAGTTGTCTTTCTTTTTCTTTCAGATTTTTTTCCAAAACATTTTATTACTTTAAATACAATAGAAAAAACATGGAGGTGTCAGGATTAAATCACTGAAGACCTTAATAAATATTTACATACAGAAGATAGAGATCAAAATTCTGTGACGAGCAGATAAAACAATATTAATATTTAAAGTGCAATGGATGGCACCAATTAAGAAATGTAAAAAAAAAACAAAAAAACATAAAATAACAATTAGGTCTTCCATAGGCATACCCAGGCTGCAGTCCTTCAGAGAATCAGAGAACGGCATACGGCACCTGCCCAGAAGCTGTGGGTCATGTTGGATGAGAGTAGTGCAGAGATATCCCTGCAAGCGACAATATGGTATTGGGGGACAGAGAATAACTTCATAAAATATAATAGACTACCCAACAGCCCAGATATTACCAAAATTGGAGATGATGTGCAGCATGAAACATCTATTGCAGAAGCCCTTTCCCTGTGATCCCACTGACATACAAAAAAGGACAGGGAGTAGGCCCTACACCAATGGCTTTGAACATTTTTGGAGGAGAGGAATTTATTCCCTTGCAAAGGGCACTAAGGAATGCGGGATTGAAAAGTTTAAGGGAATTGTTGGGAGATGCTACCCTGTCCTTAATGCAGGTCTTTAGATATTCCCAATTGCAACACTTCTACCATAATTGCCATCCTGACTGATGGTACACCTGG